ACAAACTATTCAGATATACACATAATAATCAAACAAAATACACAAGTATACATACAATTTATTTGAGTATAAACTTGAATAATGTACAGTATAATACTCAAAAAGAATTAATAACTAAATTGGACAAAGATAACAAATAACATTAAAATTATTAAACAAAACACATTCACACATTCACATACAAATGCTTAAAAAAATAAAAAAATAATGAAAACATACAAACAAATCTATTATACACAAAAGCTAATTGTTTAAAGTAAGCCTTCTTAAATTGAAGGGGAGTAATAATAGTATATATTTACAAACATAAAACATAACAAATGATTGAAACATAGTAAACAATTAAATAATGTAGAAATATTGACTATGTTACTATTTAATCCTGTACATTCTACAAAACACAATTATAAAGTTATTGTAATGAATTTAAAGCAAATCCATTAAATCTGACAAGCAAATCTGCTCAATCTAACAAATCTGACAATAAAATACTTATACAAGAGACACTTTCTCTAGAATCTTTGATAGTCATACTATATATAGTACTATTGAATGTATTACAAACAAATATATTACAGAGCATATACTTAAACACAGAGAAGTACACTATATACAAAGATGTTGAGTAGAAAAGTATTTCTAGTATATAACAAACTATATAGAACTATTGAACAGAACTATACTTTCTATAACAGAACATATATTACCTTGAAAATAATAATCACACATTATACAAAACTTACAATACTTATTCCCTAACATGTAGAACATAATAGTAAACAAATAACTAAGTAAACAAAATAATATTTAAATATATAACTAGGAAATAATTTAGGCAAGCTAAGAAATAGTACATATTCCTAAAGCAATCTATACTAGATGTGTAAAGCACTTGCTAAAATTAAAAGAAGTAACAGATATAATAGTAATCAAAACATTAATCCTTTCAAATAAAACAAGATAACATTAATTATAACTAACAAAAATGAGTAATATATACAAATTAAACAAAATAAATCTATATTTTATAACAAACACACACATATATTTAGCAAATAAAGTGAATATAATAATTAAAACAATATTAAACAGAATTTGATACAAAATAAATAATGAACAAATGAATATTATAATATACAATAAAAAATAAAACTGTAAAATACACTATTTCATCTATCTACAAAATAAAAACAGTAAACACATATTAAAGTAATATATTAACCAAATAACATTATACAATAATAATAAAAACATTATTACAATGATAAAACAATACAAACATACAAATAACATTATAGTTTGTAAAGTTGAAGGACACATTAATTAATAATAAACACAATACACACATATAATAATATTTAATACATTTATTACAAAACAGTAGAATAATACAAACATACTATATGTTTAAAACATAAATAATGTGTCTAAACAGACTTATGTTAGTAACAGTATAAAGGGGACCTGAAGGCTTAGTAAGAGGACTCAGACTACAACTATTCTATATAACAGAAATACAGAATGTAAGTACTAAAACATAGTCAGAACTTGTAGAACAGACAGAGAGAGAGTAAGACAAGAGTAGAGTATATAGAGTAAGTCTAAGAGTACAGGACTACCTAGAGTAAACAAGATTAAGACTACAGGACCTGTCTGACCTTGTATACTTATATATACTAAACTATACAAGAGTACTTAGAGAGTATGAGTTACTAAGAATAATAAGCTATAAAGAATAAAAGAAAGGAAGGTCAAAGATAAAGGTACAAAGAATGAAGGGATAGACAAAGGGTAAGAGACTATAGAATGAACAAAGAATGAAAGGGTAGTTAAAGGAACAGAATAATAAAGTAAGGAGGAGTAGTAATAAGAGTTAGTATACATATAGTCTATAAACAGTACTCTCTAAGGACAGAAGTTCTAAGTTCTAGTACAGAAGGGTGTAGAACCCTTAGAACTAAGAATGTAAGAGTAGAGAACTGTAACATTACCCTCTCTCTAAAACTAATCATCCTAATTAGTAAACATTAAACTCAGTTAGTAGTTTAGGTATAAGTAGGGCTTAGAAATCTATAAGGCTGAGTTTGTACAGAGTACTAGGATAAAGCTAATAGAAGTCTCAGATTGTTTTAAGAGTATAAGTAAGGTTCTTAATAGGTTCTTAAGTACACTCTTTAACTGAGTACTCTTTCTAGTAAATAAGGAATTTGAGTTTTCTATATAGTAGCTTAGTATTTACTATATACTCTACTTTGTATTCTGGTTTAGAACTAATGAGTTCTAGTAAAGACAGTAGGGGTCTTTATTATAAAGGAAACCCTAAATTATAGTACTAAAACAATAGAGCCTTGTTAAACACTGAGTGTATACACTTTTATATTGTTAAAAGTTAGAGTTTGTAAACAGAGACACTAATCTTCTTTTTAATAATAAAGGGTCTGAAGTACTTGTTGTCCAACTTCTTTATTAGACAATCTAAGGTCAGATTAGTAGCTTCTAGTATAACTTTATTACTAGACTAGTAATCCTTAGCTACAGATCTCTTCTAATTATAGTTCTACTTTATAACTTATACTACCTTTTCTAAAAGAGCTTGTATATTCTCCCTAGTCTTGTGTATCCATTCTACAAAGTTTGTTACAGATTCAGAACTACTGTTCTAATTCAGAACTGTCCTCTAGTATGAATGTCTCTTATAGTTGAGAAAGAACAGAGACTGTTCTGTTATAGAGTATTACTAGTTATTGTGTACAAATTCTGTTAGAGCTAACTATTCAGACTAGTCTGACTACTAATAATTAATAAACATTTAGAGATAGAGCTCAATCTTCTGATTAACTTACTTAGTTTAACTATTAGTTTGTAAGTAATATATAGTAGAAGGGTTCTCTTAAATTCTAAAAAGTATATACAAGTTCTATATGAATTTCAACTTGAATTGTAGTCTATAATTGTAAATAAGCTTCTAAGAGAGTCTGTATAACTAGAAGACATAATTCTAATAGATACACACTATGTCTTTAGAAGTAAGTTCTGTTTAGGTTAGAACTGTATAAACTTGTTTAGAGAATTAGTTAACAATTATATAAATAGTGTTATAACCTTAAGACTTAGGTAGCTTACTAATCAGGTCTACTAAGACTTCCTCTTAAGAGTGATTCAGAATCTAATACTAATGTAAGAGAGTCTAAACCCTTGTCTAGTAGGCCTTAGTCTGTTAGAATGTATTATAACTAGTTACATACTTTAGAATTTCCCTCTATATTCCTAACTATTAGTAGTTCTAAGTAATAAGTTCCTGTATTTTGTGTTAGCTCAAATGTTTTATAGTCAGATTATTATAATAAGCTTAAACAATGTCCTTCTACAGCTTCTAATCCTTTAGAACATACAGTCAGCCTTTCTAGTAAACCTGTCTATCCTTATCCTTCTCCTAATCCCTAACCTACTTCTCTAGCTACTTTACTACAACCTAGTCCTGTGTGTGTTTTAGAGCTTACTATATATAGGTGACAAAGTTAACATTCTTAAATTCAAGTCAGATCTCTCAGATTGTTTCAGACACAAAACAGGAATTGTCTAGAAGACCAAGATTTTTATTATTATTCTCTCTCCTTTTATAACCTACTTGTCTTAAGAGTAAATTAGCTTTTATTATTTGTATTCTAGGTTTGTAAGTTAGTACAAAGTTGTAGTCTTACAGTTCTAACATTTAGTAAGCCACTCTTTAAGAACCAGTCTCTTGTTAAGAATAGAATGTACTTAAATTTGACTCAAATGTATAATACTGTATTACTAGAGTGTTTACAAACAAATGTAAGAGATTAGATAGGTAAAGTGTAAGTATAAGGTAAGTAGACTATCTTTGTGAACAAACAATAATGTGTAGGATTGAGTGTTAACCAGATAAGATGCTTAAGATTATTTTTACAAAACTGTCTATATAAACTGTTTTAATTAGGTTCTACTTCTTCTTAAGAGCTTAGTCTGGTAAAACTCAGGTAGACCTCCTTAGACTCTGTCCCTATCCCTCCTTCCTTACACAATTCACCTTACTACCAATCTTCCAACTTATGTTTACTCTTTCTTCCTTATTATTAGTCTTTTATCTAATTATAGATAGAGAGTATATTCTTTACACTTAGTATCTTAATAATACTGTCTTGTCTTAATTACTTATTACTAGTTTTAATCTTTTTGTGTTCTTAGTCTACTTTCTTTATTGTTCTAATTACTCTAGTTATTCATACATCTGGAATTTATGTCTGCCTTACTATCTACCTAACTACATTTTTCAGTATTCATATTCTTAAATCTTATCTTCTTTAAGAAAACAAGGCCCATTTTAATGTACCAAGTGTATAATACTACTAAGAACAGAACATGTGTTGTAAGTAGTAGTAGCTAGAAGCTTTTCTTTTTATATACTATTAATCAATCAAAAACACTAGTTTAGATTAAAATGGAAAGTATTGTCTAAACAAGTAATACTGTATATATAATGATTAGTATGTGTGTTACTCACCTCTTACTTTACTTTGTTTTCTTCTTTCTACCTTTGTATTTTGTACTCTACTTATTTTGCATATTATTCCAATATATACCTCTGTATAATATTATGTTACTATTATTACACATGTTTGGTACTAGTAGTACATGTTTACAATATTCTCACTTTACTCTCTTGTCAAGAAATTCTCCTCCCCTCCCCTCCCTCCCAACATGAAAAAAGAAGAAAAAAAACTGTCTAAAAGGTAGAATGTAACAAGATTAGGCAGACAGAATGAAAATCCAAGAAACTCCATTATTCTGTACCTTTGACTTGCAGACCTTCAGTCTGTTTAATGCAAATGTATTTATTCAGGAATCAGTTGCTGTGTAAATTATGGTTGTTAGCAGGCTTTGTGAGCCTGATGCAACTCATCCTAGAAATAAGAGGGTCGAGTTGGGCGAATGTAATGCAACATTCCTGCCTTGTGATCCATTTCTATTCAATTGGCAGTCTCCGCAACACTTGGAAGCGAAACCAAACATATTGAGACATATCTTCCATTCATATCTTCAACTCAAGCAGATTACGGTTCATGCATATGCATGTATGCACCTAATCGACAAACCGGAGATACATGGGTGATGTAGCATGGCAGGAAACTATTAACTGATGATGATGACGACGGTGCTGATGTATATAAGCTCGCTCAAGAGTATGTCTTCAATAAAAGGAATGGAAAATTATCTACGAGATGGCGCTCAGTCATATGTCCTCAAAAAGTCCAAGAATATCTGTGTAATCGTGCAAGGTTCATCGGAGCCCCTCAATCACGAAAAAAAAAATGCATCGCTTTTCTTTTACAGAAGGGCAGCGCCGATGGCACCAAGGATACCAGCAATGCCGGCTGCGCTGACTGAAGAGCCGCGACCAGCCGCACCGCTAGAGTGTGTAGCAGAACTTGCAGAGCCTGAAGAAGTCGATGAGCCGGACTGTCTTGCAGCAGAGCTGGAAGAGTGGGTTGTGGCGGAAGAGGCGGCGGCGTGTGCGGTTGATAGCAAAGACATACCCGAAGCAGTTCCAGAAGCTGAGCTGGAAGATTTAGCACCACCACTGGCACTGGTCGTGGCAGCAGACGCTGCTGTAGATCCGCCGCTCGCCCCGCTACCTGATGCGGAGACCTCGTTAACGCTCGAGCTGACACAGCTAGATATGACCGGACACACAGCTGTCAGCCGCACGATACACTAAATATAGAATGATGGACAGCTCGAACGTACCTAGAGTCTGAGCTGCTGCCAATGGTGACAGCGTCCGTGTACATAGTCGCTCCGGTGCTGTCCTTCACCGCGACAGTGCTGGAAGCGAGAATAGTGAGGTAGTGAAGGATATCATTGAAAACGAAGCAACTTACATGGACGTGCCAGCAGCAATGTCGACCTTCCATGTAAGCGACGTAGACGAGGTAGTGTCAAACGTCTTGAGCTATTCGGAAGAGAGGAAGTGACGGCGATAAGTCGTGCCACCCAAAGTCCACATGAGAAAAAAAACACTCACTGGGGATGCGCTGACTTGACCACCTTTTCATACGATTCGCAGGCTTGAGGAATGTACTATCCAAGTGGAAAGGAAACAGAGACATACCTGGGATGATACTAGGGAAGTAAGGAGCCGTTCCCTCTTGCCATGAGAGAAGGGAAGGTTCTGGCCAAGTCGATAGTCAGCAAGTGGACACGTCGAGCTCCATTTTCTTCTACTCACGGCATTGAACGAGGCTGGACCTGCGGATGTGAGAGAGAAAATGTGTCAGCCGCTGGCGTGCGACAATGAAACCAAATACTTACGGGGTGTTGACCATGAACGCCGCGTAGGACTGGGCGGCAAGGGAGGCAAGGACAGTAAGGACAGCGAATGACTTCATCGTATACAGTAGGCGAGATGCTGGGAGGGGGAGAGTAAAATGAAATTGGATGGAAGGAGGGATAAAGCGAGCGTGTCTTGAAGACTAGGCGAGTATTACGGATAGCGGACGGGTAAAAGAGAGAGTGGAAAGTTGAAGTGGCCAAGCGTAGTAGGGGACTTTATACTCGTTAAGAGGGGCTGACGTGCGCGGAGGGGCGATCAGTCCACTCCGAAGCTGCGGAGATTGAATTGCCTGAAAATCTTTTTGGTGGAACTGTTGCGCTGGATGGATTGCTTCACACCCGGCTTCCGAACTGCGCACCGGATTCCCATCTTCTCTCGCCGCAAATACCATTCATTCCCACCAAACGAGTTGTCCTGTTTCAAATTACATGAAAATCGTTCGAATTTTAGGCGTCCTTCACCGCGTATGAAATACTTAATCATTAATATTGCACACAAGTCAGCCATAGAACTACACACCAATATTGATCCCGGTTTTCAGACAACGAAAAAAAAAAAGGTATCCAGCACAGCCCTGTTACACACACATGCATACCTCGCAACCGACAATCCACTCCATATAATCCACGCCACACTATTACTCCTGATCGTCGGCTCCCGCAAATCGCAAAAGGCAATAGAAAAGAGAAAAAAAGGTTCCTTCCAGAATCCACATGCCACCGATCACCGTCTCAAACAACTTCTCGACACAGCATTTCAATTTTTCATATTTATAATCCATACCAGCTACTGCGTCCGCCAGGGTTATGCAAACTCGTCTGCCCAATTTTCACCACCCCAGTCATCGCTTCGCATTCCTGTTGTTGGCTTTCTCCTCCTGCTACTCCTACTCCACTCGTAGGGAAACCGTATCCTTGGCCAAGCCTCACGTCAGGTGTCCCAGGCCCACCGAAGCTCAGATCAACTGCATCGAGAAGAGGTGATCGCGCACGAGGCCCCGGAGAGGCAGTCTGAGCTACAGGAGAAGCGATGAGTGACCCGGCTCCGTTCACTCGTGGTGTAGGCGTAGGCGTTGGAGGAGGATGAGTGGATAGAGTGGACATAGACGGTGAACGTGAAGGTGACGGTGGCGCTTGAGCCGGAACCGGTATCTGACCAGAACCCGTAGATCGTGCGGAATGCGGCGGAGAGGGAAACGGGCCGCTCGTCGACGACGAAAGTAGAACAGGTAAGAAAGCCTCCGCGTACCATTCGTACCATACTTTGCCGGAACCTGTGAGGCGCCAGATATCGATGCGGAGCTCTGCATTGCTCGGCAAATAAAGCGGTTCCTGATCATATGGGAAAAGAGTACTTATGTTCGCATATTGCATGTGAAATAAACATATGATAGCGCAACGAACTTTGATTGGGAAGAAACAAGGGAACCAACTGAGCATGTCTTTTGATATGTGGTCTTTACGGTCGGGATGGATGCTCAACCCAATGTTATCGTATAACACTGCTTCGAAGTACCCTGCGAATCCGTGTAGGATGCCCGCGTGTGGGATTGCAAACGCTAACGATGCCGAACGAACGTTATGGCTATTTGTCAACGGGAGACCTTCAGACCAAAAATTGAAAGTCAGCAAAAAAAAATATAAGATCATCGAATGAGCGCATATACCCACCTCGTGAATCTAACACCGCCTCCCGTCGCGGATGTTCAAACTCCCAGCATTGTTGAATCCTATCTCTACATCGTCCACCATGTCCAGGTCCAGGAGTATCTTCCGCGAGGAAATTGAAAGCTTGTAACATCACGACGTACGGAGTCTCAAGACCTTTCTCCCTATCTTTCTCTTTTGTGTCTTTGCTTCCTCCGGCTTCGTGATGGAGCTTTGCGGATTGGATGGGAGCGAGGAAAGCAGCGTAGGAAGACGGGATTGAGATGCCGTCGTCTAATTTTCAAGTTCAAGTTAATGTTATTTTGTTGGGGTTGGATCGAGGTTGACATACCTTTTAAGAATCGCATTGCACCATCTAGACATTCTGGACTTAGCTCGTTGTCTCCAAATGACCCTAATAGCTCGCTGACGAGAATGTCTGCTCTTTCAGGTACGTCCAAGTGCCGCATGTCACCGTACAGTACAGTCACTTTATTTTCCCATTCGGTTTCTCGTCGTTGTTGTAACCTAAAACAGTTGAATAATCACATCGACCCTTTGCCTGCGGAAAGTGTGTACTTACGTGACGTATGCACTTGGGTTTTTCTCAATTGCATAGACGACTACGTTGCGCGCCGAACGTTTGACAGCTTTCAACGATCGCGCAACAAGAGGTCCACGGCCAGCTCCAGCAACAGTAAGGACGCTATTGTTTCTTAATGAGCATAAGTATATCAAGAGAGGTACTTCGAGACCAACATTCGAGCATCTGCAGGACGATCAGAGAGAGCTTTAAACATCGCCTGCAAAACATGTCATTCAATGGTGTATGTAAGAGCGGCATTGTATGCCTACCTCCTCGTACTTCTGGTACTTTACCGGATCGCGTTCGAAGTTCTCATATACCATGCTCGCAAGGTGATCCTGCAGAGGCTACATCGCTAACTTAATCAGTTCTTCTTTACTCACTCCTCTACCCAAGAAAACAAAAAAGAAAGAAAGAAAAAGAATAGCGCACATAGGCAAAGAGCATGAACTCACCTGTAACGGCATCTGAAGATAATCCTGATACCCTTGTGCGTAGTTCTCAAGTGTGTTCGCTTCTTTCGTCCGACGGGTGTATGGTGAGCTTTTCTCGAGGTATCGAATGTAGTCTACGTATTTGTCTTCTGTGCCTTTGGGATGGAGGCGTGTGCCGGTGCCGGTGCCAGATAACACGATAGTTGGGTGGCTCTGCAAAGTACGAGCAATAACAGTTAGATCTCGGAAATAAATACATATTTTGGAACTGCGCACACGCGTCATGGTCTGCAGGAATGACTGTGTTCCTTTTGGAAGGACAGGATAACCCTTTGCGTTCGGTATAAACGTCGATACGGGAAGGAAGATATGTGATACCGGCTCGGCAGACCATCGAGTAAGGATTCCACGGGTGGAAGGGAGTGGTAAAGTCAAGTCCAGTGCTAACGATAAATACCAACATCAAATTAACGAAGAGTACTCTTAATTGATTCACCAACGCACCCAAGGTTAACCTAGGATTATACCCGCAAATCGTACGTATGACATCCCACGCCTCCCAGGCCCCACTCAGTTCTCCAACTGGTGGTGCCTTTAACGATGCACTCCGTAATGCTGGGCTTATAGGACTTATACCCTGGGCCAGTCCTGGGCTCGATGGTAAACCAGGTGAGATAGGTATAGGCGTATTACTCCCAGTGGCACTCGTCTTCTGCGCAGACGAAAGAAACGCTGGGTCGTACAATGGAAGTCGAACTGCAAGCTGCATATACGGAGAGTTATCGAAGCACGCGCGGAGAGTTCGACCGTATGATGCTGCGTGAGCCCGCTCGAGCGGTGGAGGAAGTACGACAATTGATAGACCTAGGTACGAGGCGTATGCGAGTTCTTGCCTTAGCGCGATCTCGCAGTCGTGTCGGACCCAGTCGTCTGGTGAGTCGAGTTCGAGCCAGTCGGAGGCGATGCCAATCACACCTTCTGCTTCGTCTTATTCGCGGTGAAATAATTCGTATTAGTTGGTTTGATCGAACGAACGAAGCGTGAGCGTTTACCTAGTCCTGTCATGTTACACTCCTCCCTCTGGAAACAGGGAGCTGCTCTCCACCTCTCCGCCCTCTCCTCAAGTTCACGCTCCCGCTCCTTTCTCTTCATCTCTTCCTCACCATCTTTCATCCTCGTCTCCATCTCCATCCCACTCAGTACATCATTGTTATCTTCCTTATCATCAGTTTGCATATGCAACGTCGAACACATACGCGTCCACCTCTCCTTCCACGTCGCATTCGTGATAGGAACAGCGACAGTATCAAAGTACCTCCTCGCATCGGCTTTGAGCTTGAGTACAGGCGAACCAAATTCAGACGGGTTCTCATCGTGCGATGCTTTTGCTATTTCTTCTGAGGTGATGAGACGAACGACGGGGCTGGAGTATGCCCATGAAGAGTCCATCTCAGGGGGTGATGGCTGGTACTGGATGAGATGTGTGCGTAAGACTCTACAGTAAGAGAGGATTAGAGGAGATGCGAATCACGAAGATCATCACGCGTCTCGTGACTGACGCGGACTTAGACGCGCTTTAGGACAGGGATTTTCAATTTCAATTTCAAATTTCCCAGAACTTCAGGGCTGCTCAGTCTAGACTCTCAGGCGTGTATGATGAAGTGAGTGCAATACTAAACGTTTATTTTGAGAGCATAATTATAGAGATAGAGAATAACAGACTACGTAAGGTGATGCAAGGTGGTATTGGTACAACAAAACCCGGTCATTTCGTCTGAGCATTCATGACTCGGAAAAGGATTCGATTGAGGCAACGAAAACGGATATGATAGTAAGGAAAACGGAACGAGAGTAAGAAACGAGATATTAAAAAAAAAGGAAGAAAAAGAACGTCGAACGAGTGATACGATATGAATTATATCGTACACGCAAAGAGAGATGGATTGGATATGTGGATATGTATGCTGTGGTGATGATGAAATAGGCGTACACTGTCCTTTGTCCGTTTCGTTTCAATATCTTTCGGTAGATATGCAAGTAACGCGGTCGTTTTCGTTTTTCATTGGCGGACCCTAAGCCTCATCCGCTTCATCCGCCGTGATATATATCGAATCCTCACTAGTCTCCACTCGTCGTGCAGGAGGGTTCGGTCGTTTCGAAACACGTCGCATCTTCGTCGGCGTCTGACCCACCGCATCATTTTCCTTGTCATCCTCCTCCTCCTCCGTAACAATCATAACAGTAACATCCTCATCGCCTTCTACTTCCAATTCCACTTCCTTGACCTGCGCCAACTTCACACTCATCGAATTAGTCGAACCAGCCGAGATCCGTCGTTCGTCCGTCGGTGTACGCGGTTCACAGCTATCAGAGCCCGAACTTGACGAGCTTGAATGTGAGCCTGAACCCGAGACGAGGCTTGAGAAACTTGGACGCGGTGAGCTATCCCCAACGATAACTTCACTATTCTCGTTTTCATTTTCGACAACAGTCTTCGTCTCTTCTTCAATCTGCTGTTCCTCTTCTTTTACTGTGTTCTCCTCGCTTGTCTGAGTCGGAGGTGAAGACAGCCCAGGCGGAAGCGCCGGTCCACCAGGAGACATCTCCGAAACGGTACCCGGCGAAGGAGCCACGATCGGTACAGGTCTAGGCCTTGACTTGGGTTTCGTCTCCGAATCAACATTTGTGGCGGTGGGTCTTGACGGTACGTCACCCAATCCACGCCCCAATGCGCGTGCTTGCATGTGTGCAAGTGTATGTCTGCGTGGGGGTGGTGTGGGAGCTGGTGCATTGTGCAGAATGCATATATGTGCGGGACACGCAGCCGTCGTCGTTTGCACCTGATTCTCCTCTTTCGGGGTATTGCTCGAGCCTGATGTGTCTGCATCCAACTTCTCTTCCTTCTCCCGAGATTGTTCTTGTGAAGGCCTAGTGGACGGCACCTCCGGAGCAGCCTCCAAGCTGAAAGTCGTCTTCCCTGCTGGTGCAGTCTCCGGGAATTGAGACGGCGGCACGTCAGGCATTAACATGAACGTCATCGGTGCAGGTGTGCTCGGAGAAGTAACAGGCACAGGTACTTCATCCTCAGGATACAACGGAGGAACCGGTTTACGCTTAACGAGGCTCGCGCGTTTCGCAGCTTTTGCGGCTTTCGCTTTGTCCACGGTGCCATCCTCTGGTAACTGCCCATCCGATGCCGGTGAGGGAGATGAAGGAGAGGATGCGATAGAGAGGAGGTTAGGACTCGAATGCGACGCATGTGCATTATTTGGACGGTCGGCGTGAGATTGCGAATGTGATCGAGAAAGGAACTGGTGTCGCTCGGAGCTCGTGCTTGTCCGGGGTTGTCCGGGGTTGGCAGAGGAAACAACATCAATGATCGGGGTATTCTATATTAGTATATGCGTCGTCGGTCAGTACAAGGACAGAAGAACAAGGTCATGGACAAGCAGAACAACCCACCTCACTGGCGGGCATCCCGAAAACCCGACGCCACCGCGATTCGTCCCATGTCCCATCGTTCCGCTGTACGAAAAAGAAAGCAAGGCAAGAGAAGTCAGTACACAGATTGAAAATACGCCACGTCATAACGTCCGAGAGACATGTATCGATCAAATGACCTCGGGGTGTCTAAAAGTCCAAAATCCGTCCGAGAATCGCGGCGACGGAATTACGGAATCTAACAGCACAAAATCCGTGATACTAAGGATACCCGCGGTCGCGGTAGTAAGGTACGCCACAAGACTGCGCATCCGCGTACAGACACAGAGTCCGACCCACCGCACCGGACTCATGGGAAAAACACGAACAACGGAGCCAGACAGAATTAAGAATACTGAATACTCACCGAGTTCGGACCCAGATGAAACTCATGCTTGAACGCACTCGGCGGGCCGATGTCGAGTACGTTCAACCGCGATTTATTCGGGCTGCTGGATGATGACGCGTTTGAGCTTTTGGAGCTGCTCTTCCCACTTGCGAATGACGATGTTGAAGCGCCACGGACGTGTGATGACGGAGACTTGCGGCTCGGGGACGGAGACCCAGAACCAGACGAGGATGCATGACGCAGGAAAGAGAAAGACGAGCCAGCAGCGTTGGTTAGCGTCGCTGTAGCCTTGTCGATTGAGGCACCCGAGGCACGCGAGATTGACTGTATGCGTTTCCGGATCGACGGCCGCCGGAGCGGGAGTGAGACTTTCCTGCTCGATGTTGGACTCGAGCAAGAGCCCTCACACACAGCCGACGTGCTACTAAAGTTCGGGGGAGGTGCGCGGGAGCGGGAGGGAGAGGAGGGACCCTCGACTGGAGAGCTTATCGCCGATTGAGGTGCAGTGCAGAGCAATGTGAGCATCTTCCTTCGTTGTCAATGCTTAATTAACGGGTAGTAGTGGAGGTATCGCAGTTGTACTGTGTACGTCGGGAGTGCTTTCGTCGCGGTGCAACAATGTGGTGGGCGCAAGAGCAGCACAAAGTTGAAGGATCGACTCGAGACTGTCGGGGGCGTAAAAAGGTAGGAACGGAGCAATATGAGTGGGGAAACTAGTACCAAAATTGATTCGAGGCGTATCTCCCTCACCTGACAGATAGCACTCGCCACTTGCCACAGGGTAGAGTAGGGTAAAGTAGAATGATCAAAGTAAAGTAGGCCCTGCTGTCTCCTAAATGCTCGTTTGTAATTTTTAAGTTTCGTCGACGTGGCGTGGAGATAATATGACTGCCGGAATATCTGTGGCACACGCGGAACTGCGTAAGATAAGTCGGATCCGGAGGGAAGTCTGTTACTCTCTTCTGTTCCGTATGCGTGTTTTAATATAAGAGCATGCAGTTCTCCAGGGACGGTGAGGCCGTGAGCGTGTGCCCGTCTGCGTTTATGCGTGCGAAGTGTCGGAATAGGAGCTATGGCGCGGTGCTAGGTAGGGCTGCTGCTAAGGTTCACACACCGACCACACTAAACTGCCAGCAAGACTCGGCAAGCGCACGTCGAACGAAGCCGGACGGACTCACGAGGAAGACCGAAGAGCAAAAGCAGACGTCAACGAACGTCAACGCAACGAGGCAGGCCAATTCCAAAGCCGACTTCCAACTTCGAAAGGTACTGTACTTGTATGCGCGAAAGTTCAACCAAAACCACACCGGGGCACAGATGCGGATTGCGCGGTCGATCAACAAATCAACAGTCGGGTCAAGGTCGAAAGCGGTACTTCGGTGTGCACTGAGTTGATCGCCCTTGCTCTTGTCCCTTGTATGTACTTCACAAGTATCTCAAAGGAGTCTCGTCTCCACACTGGGGGTTGTCCGTTGTATGGATGAATTTGTCGCTGAGGCGTCGGCGTCGGCAGATGGAAGGAGCTATCCGCTACTTATGTGTCGCGATGTGTAAATCGTAAATCAGAATGAACGCAGGCCGGGGATGTCTGAGTCTCGCTGCGCAGCCTGAGGGAGGTAAAAGCAAAAGTGCGTGTGAGAATGAGTATGAGCGAGTAACTCGGTCGTGAAGTGAAGTGAATCCCATATTGAAATACTTTATAAGGCGGAAGGCCCGGGAATGGGGTGGACACGTATGTAGAAATGAAATGTCCAGACAACGGGATCAATAGGCACATACCTCAATGACCTCTCTCTTCTCTTGTTGTTCACCAATCAGCTGGGACGTTGGAACTAAGTAGAACAACTCCCGTGTGTGGAATGCGAGCGTTACGGCCGTAGCACGCGCTGCTTCTGTCCTTATTCACCTTATTCACTTTATAACCTCAGGCCTCCTATCCACTGTCTTCGATCTCTTCAGCCTCCTTCACGACGAGCTGAGTGAGAGGAGGAGGATTTGATTTGAGTAGAATCGGGCAAGGAAATGAAACTTGAATCGTGATGTATCTCATACTGCTCTTATATGCCTTCTATTGCTGCCAATATTTCAAAGGTCGGTTGCCGTCAAGGACAGAGTTAGTGCGGCCTATGTGTTAAACGAGCGATGTACCTGTATGAGGCGATGAGCGCCCAGTGCAATGCACCCACGCCTCCTATCTCTCCCACGACAAGACGCTCCTCTTCAACACGAACCGACACACCGCAGCGGCGAAGCCTCGCCTCGCGCAATGCTGTCCATCATTCTCTCCTCGCCAATCAGTACTCTAGGACTACCACTATTCCTTCAATGTCAATATGAGATTTCTTGTCACAAGACAGAGTCGAACACACACTAAGAAACCGTGCGAGTGCATATGAATATCTCAACATAAAACCTGTCTCATTCCAATTCTCACAATCCAATCAAATGAGCGCAAGCGCGGATGCCCGCAACACCCAACATTCTCACACATACACCACCAATAGAAGGCAGACTTAGAGTCAACGAATGAGCTACCCTGCATCACACAAGAAAACATATACAACACAATGAACACATGTCATGCCATCACAGATTCACATTCCAAGTACCCACGCTGTGGGACCTGTGCGACAACATACAGCGATACACGCATATCACACTGACCTACACAAATGGCTAGAAGCGAGACACTGGGAATTGCGGATAATGATGCGCCGGTAGTCGATACAATCCGTCAATCCATAGTGTAGTAGAGTTTACCACCGGTCCCCGCCTCCGCGGCCACCCCAACCAGAGTCATTGCCTCCGTATCCTCCACCACCTCCTCCTCCATATCCGCGGTTACCTCCCCCACCGCGTCCTCGCCCGCCTCCGAAGCGGCCTGTACATCCATTCCGTTAGAATCAAAAACCTGTAACAGTTTGAATAGTGAATTTGATGTGTCGCTTACCTCGGCCACCGCCTCCTCCACCAAACTGCACCATTTCCTGCAGCTGCGGCGGAACTTCTGCTTTGGCTTCTTTCAAAATCGTCACGAGTTCTCGTGCAGATTTCGCATTCTCTGTCGTAAAGAACGTGTATGCAATACCCTTCTGACCCGCACGCTAAAAATAATAATATGTAGCTGTCAGCTTCACAGTAACACAGTAACACAGATTTGCATGCGACAGTGTTGTGGAGAGATAAATGGGCGCATGACTACTATTACTTACTCCTGTACGGCCGATGCGGTGGATGTAGTCCTCACAATTGTTCGGGAAGTCGTAGTTCTGCGGCAATTCAGATCAGTCAGGTACCCGAAACGAGATTAAAGACAGATAAAGGAACACCCACGATCACAAATCCGACATCCTTCACATCTATTTTCGATGCATTTCCAAGTCCAGACCGAGTCCGAAAAAGTGGCGAAGAGAGCAAAGGGAAAGATAACAAAATAGGTCAACAACACAAAACCTCGGCCGTGCTCACAGCATTCAGCAGCCTGCCGTTCATACAAACACCATACAAAAGGCAGAAGCTAGCGAAGAAACCAGAGGACTAGACGACATTCTAGCTAGCAACTCAACCCAAGGCATCTACATAGAGACAAAGTCCAGTGTCCAATGTCCATGTACTGCTCTTCATATACGGGGTGAGTCTATTCTAGCGTCATAGCCTAGTCTAGTCTAGTCTGCGGTTCGAGTCAAAGGTCCGACAAGCGATTCACATAGTCCCAGGCATTGCACGCGCTTGTAGATAAAAGCCACATTGACGAGAGGTGAGTACAGTCCATAACCACAATCAACTGGCAAATATTGTGAACAGGCCCACTGTCCAGAACATTTCAGCAGAAGGGCAGAGGGGACCAGATTCGTTATTCCTCTCGCTTAAGAGTGGCGTCGAAAAGCACATGGTTACCCGAGAAATGTTTTCTGCCTGTCTTGAACCTGTCCTGAACACGTACCGCAGTATGACGACGCAGCATCCGGGGAACCGGTATGTGCGTTAGATGATCGCTAGATCGCCCAGTCAAGGTGTTCCCGACAGCAACCGCTCCTTGCTGACAGAGAGCACAGAGAAAAAAATTACGTACCGAGACCCCTAGATGCTACGTCCGTAGCAATTAAGATAGGGGAACGACCGCCTTTAAACTCTCCGAGTACCCAGTCACGCTCACGCCTGCAAATCATCAGATGAAAACGACATAGAAAGAAGAGAATGCAACACACTGTTCCTTGTCACCGTGAATAGCGAGTGCAGGCCAACCATCTTGGCGCAAATATTTCGTGATGTCGTCGGCGACACGTTTTGTCGCTGTGAAAATGAGTACTTTCGCATTCTGCGTGCTGATGTAGTCAAGGTGCTTGACAAGCTTGTTACGCTTCTCAAAGTCAGTGCAGACTTCGATGATTTGAGTGATGTTGTGGTTCGCCGTCAGCTCCATTGAACCAATGTTCACTTGAATCATGTCGGTCAAGAAATCCTGCACAAGAAAATCAGCAAGCCGAATTAGTAGAAGTGACCCAGGATGACTCACATTAGCAAGTTTCTGGACGTCCTTCGGCCAAGTTGCGCTGAACATGAGTGTCTGCCTGTCTGGACGGATCTGCGAAACGATTTTCCGAATTTGTGGTTCGAAACCCATGTCCAACATGCGGTCGGCCTCGTCCATGACGAGATACGTAACACGAAGTAAATTCGTCTTTTGAGTCTCAAGCATATCGATGAGCCGGCCAGGAGTCGCGATAACGATTTCTACACCGCGCTGAAGGTCACGAATCTGCGGACCCTTCGGCGCACCACCGTAGATGGCAGTGTTGCGGATTTTTGAATTTGAACCGAACTTCGTGCACTCTTGTTGGATCTGAACAGCGAGCTCACGGGTCGGCGCGAGAATGAGAGCGATTGGGCCATCGCCAGGCATAAGAAGGGGTTGTCTATGAACAGAAGAATAGTAAGTCATATGGATCATCGGTACGCATTAGTCATGCTTGAATGGCTTACGCGTTGATGTGCAGCATGGCAGGAAGGGCAAAAGAGATCGTCTTGCCCGAGCCAGTCTGTGCGATGGCAACGACATCGCGCCCGCTCAGAGCCATGGGCCATGCTTGGCATTGGATGGCTGAGGGGGCGGTAAAGCCCTGAGCGTGGATGGTCTTCAAGATGTAGTCAGGGAAGCCAGCTTCTTCGAAGGTAGTGACTGGGCGAGGGACATGTCGACCAGAGACCTGTCACAAAAGCCGTATCAGTGTGAAATCAAAAAGCGACACAGGGAATGTGCAAAATGCACCTTCATTTCTTTCAGCCTGCGGAATTCTTCTATTTCACGATCGCTGCGGGCCTTAACCCTTTCGTCTTCACGGTAGAAATTTTTCTCAAATTTCTCTAGACGATGGGTATTCCAGTCGATGTTCTTCAAGCCACCGCCCAATGCGCTCATCTTGTCGCCGCCATATCCACCGCCATAGCCACCTCCTCCACCATAGCCGTTGCTGTAGCCCCCACCATAGCCTCCGCCACCGTACGAGTTTCCTCCACCACGAAAAGACTATAAGACGTCCGAAAACGTTAGAATTGAACAACAAAGAGGAAAAGCTTGGGGACTCACCATTCTATAGTCTATAGTAAACTAAAGAAGGACTAAAATAAGGACCAGAATCTAAAGTCTATGGGTACCGCAAAGATGGCGGTGGTCGATGAAGAAGAAGAGTCGTCCGCAACAGGCTGAACAATAAAAACGCGGCCAGGACAAATACTGCCAAATAACACCTAATGTGGGATAGACTTCTCACGCCTGCTTTATTTTTGCTAAGTACGTGTTTATTTTATTCATCGATTGCTTCCGAATCCGAAACCAAATTGTCAAGAAAATATGCAGTGGTATTCCTAGCGTGACATACAGTGAACTGCTTTGGGTATATACAGAAATGTCTCTGGCTTGTACACTGGACGAACGACAAGTTTAAAGCAATACAAGAGAGCAGAAAATAAAAAGAAATAGCATTTCCAAAGCAGCAATCCGGGGCTCATAACTGCCGAGCGAAGGAGGATGGGGAGTGGATAAGATAGACATCCATACATGCGGTGAGAAGGGAGAGAAAACAAGAGAAAGCAATAAGTATCCCAGAAGAGCATTGAAAAGATCGAAGGTGGGTGGGTGATATAGAATTTCCAAGTAACGCCTGTCTGTGCGTGCGTCTCGCCCACCCACAAAAGAATCAAATCAGCATCTACTGTATCCCTATATCGGCACAATTGAAAGTCCTTGGTCCGTCCAATCATTGCAATCACATAATTATACAACGCTCACGTTTCCGCCTCGGGTGCACTGGGTAGCGCTCACGCATCTGGCGGATGAGATCTTCGAACACGTCATTGACATGCCAGTTCCTCTTTGCGGAGGTTTCGTAGAAGGGGAGTCCCCAGCGCTCGGCCGTCGCTGCGATGAGCTCACGATCTACGTCGCGCTCCGCAGTCAAGTCTGACTTTGTGCCCACGACTACGATGGGGACGTTCTATTTCGCGGCGAAGAACAATAAGAGGGGAAAGACGCATGTGTGAACAAAACTATGACGTGCAGTGAACATAAAGAAAGCAAGAGAACTGACCGAATTGGCGCCTTTGATTCGGTATATTTGTTGTCGGAGGTGGTCAACCTCGCGAAGGGTGGTTCTCTGTGTCAAACTATTATCCCGAGTTAGCTAAAGTGCTATGTGTGTTTGGGCAAGAGAACTGAAACTCTATCCGGTTACTCACCTGAAGACCAAGATGAATGCCATCCCGGACTGATAGAATGATAGGAACGGCAGTGAGCAAATGTCCGGTCGCTGCGAACGGACCGCTGTGGGCGCGCACCTTGATGTACATCTCGTTGAACGCAGTGAACTGCTCTGCACCTGCTGTATCTAGTACCTCGAGCTACACGAGGACATGCATACGCGTTTAGATAGAAAGACGCGTATGTAATAAAATGACGAACCTTAGTCCATTCGCCATCGACGTTAAACTCGCGGCTGTATTCCTCTGTAGCCCGGGGTAGCATAGTAGTACTTAGGATACAGTGCAGAAGGGAGAGTGACGAGTCTCACCCTCGATAGTTGGATCATAAGTGTCTACAAAGACGTCTCTGATAAAACGGCATGTGAGAGCTGATTTACCAACGCCCCCAGCTATAGGGGTCAGAGGCGGGGAGCTGTAAGCCTACTGTAAGGGGAGGCAGTGACAATAAACAGACCTCCCAAGACGACTGCATTGAATTCGCGCATGTAGAAAGGATAGGGGAAGTGAGAGGTGAGTAGAGAGACAGAGATGAAAGAGAGAGGAGCGAACCAAGGCGTGCTTGTTTATGAGATGAGGGCCCGTCTTGGTCGAATCCGATCGCCAGGACGGATGTGCGATGGACTAGTAAGTATAATAATAAGAGCAAGCGCCGGGAGAGCGAGTCCAGTGTGCAATGCAGCAGAACGTTCGGACAGAACAAACGCGTCCCTACTAGTAGGCCTGTCCTGGCAACTCATCACGCTCTCTCTCTCCTATCATGGTCGCTCCCCGTGTCTTCCTCGACTTTACTCTCGACGGCGCTCCCCTCGGAAGGTCCGTTCAATTCAAAACAATAGCATTTGCCTTTAGCGTTTAATAATTCCATCCGCACCCCTTTCTCAACAGAGTTATATTTGAACTCTTTCACATCTCCGCTCCTAAAACAGCTGAAAAGTCAGTACTTACTTATCTCTCCTACTACTAATTGTCTTCCACCCGTCCCTTTTCAGCTCATTCCTCGCCTCGCAGTTTTAGAGCACTATGCACAGGAGAACGCGGCGTGTCCCCCAGATCCGACAACCCGCTTTATTACAAGCATAGCAAGATACATCGTGTCATTCCGGATTTCATGATCCAGGGCGGCGACTTTACAAAAGGAAACGGAACGGGTGGCGAGTCTATCTATGGTGCACCGTTTGCAGATGAGGATCTGTCGCGGCCCGTTGATGAGGCAGGGTGAGTTTTTGTCCAGTTTATTTTTTGCCTGGTTGCTTTTGGGCGTTCTTGTTCGTGGTATGTGACGGCGTAGGGTGAAATAAATACATTCTCCTCTTATGACGTATTAGGTTCACTACTGAGTCCCTTGATGAGCTTATTGCTCAAGTATATGCTCCCTGCACGTCTCCAGCGTAAAGCCATCGCCACCACCATCTCCAAATTCTTCTTCTCATCCTCTGCGCAACATCAATCTGATTACCTCTCTCACAATAGCCTCCTCTGCATGGCAAACAAAGGCCCCAACACCAACAACTCCCAATTCTTCATCACACTCCGCGCCAGCCCACACCTAACAGGTAAACATGTTGTCTTCGGACGCGTAATCCGCGGGTTCGAAGACGTCATCAAGCGAATTGCAGCTGTGGAAACGGATGAGAAGGATAGACCGGTTGGGGTTGTGGAGGTGGTGAATTGTGGAGAGTTGCAGCTTGTTAGGAGGGTGAGTAGGCCGGAGGTGGAGAAGAGTAGGGTGGGTGGGGAGGAGAGGGAGGGGGGGAGAGGGAGGAAGAGAAGACGGTCGACTTCCCGTTCGCGATCTCCGTCGGTTTCTCGATCTAGGACAAGGGAAAGATCCTACTCGCGTTCACGATCACGATCACCCGCATCCGAGAGTGATAGCGAAGCCGAACGTAAAAGGCGTAAGAAACGCTCTCGGGAGGACAAAAAGGAAAAGAAGGAAAAGAAATCCAAGAAATCCAAGAAACGAAAACACCATCGTTCCCATTCTCCTTCCGCGTCTGGCTCGCGTTCTCGATCCATCAACTTGCCGAACGGTGGGACGGAAAATAAAGGAGCCCGAGAAGAAACAGAAGAAGAATACGACGCACGCTTGGAACGTGAAGAACGCGAGAGGATCGAGGCTGCGCGGTTGAGGGAGCTTGCTGAGATTAAGAGGCGGTATGAGGAGGAGGCTCTCAAAAAGATGGAGAAGGAGAAGGAGAAGAGTGGGGGTGTTAGGTATAAAGGTACGTTTTGTTTGCTTGGTTTGTTGTTTGTGAGATTGATTTTGATTCTCGTAGGCCGAGGAAGGATGAAGTTCGTTGATCCGGAGATGAGGTCGAGGCGGTATGATTGAGCTGAATCTCGATGGATGATATTGTTACTTTTTATTTTTGTTGTCGATGTTAATGTCTTAATTCATATTCCAAACAAGGAATTCATTGATTTCTAGATGGGGTCAAGGTGAAATAATTGAACCGGGGGCCAATGATAATATTGTTTCTGCACTGTTATTTTCAACTTTTGAATTCTGTTTATTCGGTTCAATACAGCGTTGATGAAACATTCGATAATATTACAACAGTATAAGATCAGAGAGTATTGTACAGTAAGCAAGAAAGTTTACATGTAAATCCTGTAGTGTGCACAGCTTAGAAGCTAAATGGAATTGGGTTGACAATGCTCTGGTCAAAGCAGGGTAGCATTCAGTATCATTACACTGTATTCCATGTTGGACAAGGCACGTACAAGATCCTGCAAGCTGGACAACTGTGTATTTCTATGTATCAGACACTGTAACTTGCAGAACCAGATCATCACTCACAATTACCTCAGGGTATGGTATAGCCATACCTATTTGTTGGAATATCCCTGATGCAACAAGTCTTATCAAGTGTTCACTGTAAATTCAAATAAGTGAAATTTAAAGAGTATGTCTATACTATACTTACAAAATTGCTATGAAAAGTTTCTTGTGTGTCATGTTCGGATTTTCGCCTGTTTCTCAGGTCAGCCAATATACATTATTGAGGAGTTTAGAATTACATGCATAATACATGCCAGAAGGCCTGGTGAAAGATTGGTAGCCTGTTACTATACAATGTATTAAAACAGTAAACAGACAAAACATACTGTAGTAAGCATCCCTCCATCCTGACTATCAAATGGATTATATACAGTCCAGGATGTCTTTAAGTTGGGATGGTAAATAAGACACTACATTTACTAAACAGATGAGATAACTCACAACATGCTTTGTAATTTTACTCTCTTGTATTGTATGTAGGAGCTCTGCTCACTTTGTCAGTCCAAGTTTTAAAGAGTTAAGTTGATAATAATGTCTAGTCATTTAGCTAAAACAAACCTTTGGTTCTTACTGTAACATCTATATCTGGCCTAAAACATGGCTTGGCCCTAGCCCTTAACATTGTAGGGGACCATATCTTATACAAGGGTTTCTTGTCCTCACTTTCTGAGTGCAAATGTGGTAAACCTATACTAATATTAGAGTTGAACATAGAGACAGTGAACAACCTTATAACTACTGACTAATACCAGAAGAGGAGAGCTCACAGTCAAGAATCACCTGTCCAGGTGGATAATCAGTTCCTGTCAGTAGGCAGAAGGAAGTATGAGTATACAGTGAGGTGGGTTCCTACTGGAAGACTATCTACTAATTTCTCTTTCAGTTCCTGTAAGAATGAATCAGTATATTTACTAGATAATCTGGAAGTAAAGAAAGTACATACACTACCTATAATATACTTGTCTATTACCCTTTCTTTCTGATTGTCATATACAATGTCAACAGGCCAGATGACTCTACTGATAACATTTTGCTTGTTTCCACCCTTTTCAGGTGTCTGAGCACTATGTCCAGAAACTAGAATTGTGTTAGACAAGTTAGAATGGGTCATTACTGAAATAGTTAGCTTACAGTGGAATACAAAGTGATCACCAGATTTGGCACCCTTGACAAGTGTGTCAATTACCTTCAACTATATGAATATCAGCTCCAAGGTCCTATTCACAAGTAAATAGGCATACAATATTCTCTCAACTTGGTAGCATATGATTCCTATTGTCTTTAAGAATTACAATATCTTCCTCCTTGTACTCATAAAATTCTGCAAATGAATGAGCATTCCAAGAAGATATATAGGTTTTTGTATCCTTACAAGTCAACATTTGCTTTACTTTGTCTGGATCACTATGAGCTGCACCAAGTTTGAGAGGCGTGTCTTTCTCAGAGTACTGTAGAGTATTCTGATATGTAATGCTAATAGATAAAGCCTTTCATGCTACAGCAGAACTGACTGTCACAGGCTGTAGATAATATGACAGAAAATTGTTAAACATAGTACATAGTTGAAAATAGAAGCTTGTACCAGTTGCTTGTACAAAAGATTCAAAACTTCAGAAACTGGTGACTGTTGGGATGGCTCAAATATCCAACATTTCTCACATATTGTCTGAAGAAGCTCAAACAACATAGAATTATGAGGATCAACAGGTGTTGAAGGAAATTCCGGAAGTCTTTGTTGTAAAATCTGGGTGACTACTATTATCTGGTTGAATGAGGAGTAAGGACGACTGCGAGTATACAACTCCTTGAGTCTGATTAGCAGTGATGCAACAGAGACAGACTAGATTGCTTACATATACAGTCATCCCAAAAGCCCAGACGTCTGATTCTTTACTGTGTTCCGAGTATGTTGCAGAGTATGCTATTAACTCGTATGATAGATAATGTGCTGTCCCAGTCATACCGTTACCAGTGGTCAAATGTGCTAGACTTTGGCTAGCATTGATTATGCGAGTGTAGCCAAAGTCACAGATGAGGGCGTCGCCAGAGCTTGATACAAGGACATTGTCCTAAATGACTCAGTAAGCAGTCAACAAGGCAAGTGCAATCTGATAACTTACTGATTTTATGTCTGAATGAATGAAGTTATTCTTGTGGAGATATGCAGGTCCTCTAGCAGCCCCAGAAACTGCAGGTTTGATAATAAAAAAATGATGACTAACTAATGAATCAGGTATCACTGACCAGTCGTAAAAGGTCACACTGTGGGTTTGAATTAACATATGTCCATGCTGACCCGTTTTCCATCCACTCCGAAATTAGCATTGGAAACTCAGTATCCATGTCAAACGCATAGCCCAGTAAAGGAAGTATGTTCTCATGTCTCAGCTTTGACCAGACGTATACTTCTTTCTCGAGCAACTGAAAGTACATGATAAATTGCTACATAGGTAGAGCATATAGATCTGGGTACATACACGTTTTTTATCCTCTAGATGGAAAAAGCGCACAAGTTTAGCAGCCACCTTAACCCTTTCCTGACTTCCAACATTGCATTCTGCTATACGTATGTCTCCAAAACCTCCTACATTGACTATCCGTTTATCAGTGAAGATGACACGATCAGTGATGTCCAGATGACTGAGGCTTGCAAGCAATTCAGGTGCAATGTCGTACTGTAATAGCCGATTCATGATATCAGTGTAGTCAATATGCAGGTCTGTGTTATCCTTGATTTTGACTGCTCAACAGGATTCCTAGAGTGAATCAGACGTGAGAGTGAGGAGCAACGATAGGATCAATGGCCCGCACATCCGTCATTTCACAATTACTTGCCTAAAAGAACTTACATAATGTAAAACATTATTCGAAATTTATTTTACTATTTTTGACTAGCGAAAATTATAAACAAAATTTATAGTTTTTGTCTTAAGAAAATTACAGTGTTTAACGTTATGTAAGTTATTTTTTAGGACAAGGAATTGTAAAATGCCCCATGTGCCGGAGGATAACATCTAAAGCCACATGTCCTCAGGATCAGCATATGCATATTATCCATAACGTTCATATTGCAACTCGTGAAGACACATGTAGAAGGCAGAAATACTTTATGTAACCACAGCTTTGCCAAAACGGATACATGTAAAGACAACATACGATAAATCAATGAGTAAGGAGACCAGCAAACAGCGTACAGGAGGAGAAACCCCGCTTTGCATGAAGAAACGTCGAAACAAGCAAGCAATAGTATACCACTATTCATTCATGATGAAACAACAACGGAAGAGAATTTTTTAATCACACGTTTACTTCAGCGAGCTTTTCAGCCACTTTGTCAGCGTCAGCGCTGGTATCTTTTTCTGCTTCACTCTGTTGTGTTGAAGGCTCGGAGCCTGAGGGAAGAGCAACTTCCTTCTTCGCCGCAGCAGCCTTCGCGAAGCTGAATGACGGTCGAACGTTCGCAGATGGTGCCGCCGCCGAAGCTGGCACCGGAGATGCGTTTGACGAGGGTGGAGAGCCAGGTGCAGCACTCTCGTCAGCAACCGTCGCGGGTGTGGTAGACGGGGAGCGTGTCCCTGCTTCACCTCTTCCGCTACCAGGTCGTCCTCGCGGCTGTCGCGAACTCTGACGTGACATTGAGTGCTGTGCTATCCTCTCTTTCTCCTTTTCGATCTTCTCCATTGCCGCTGCTTCGCGCGCTGATACATCTACAGGCCTGATAATACGACAAATAAACACTAGGAAGAACTGAGAGTGTTTGAGTGCGCTCACCTGGCGGCACCGAATGGGTTAGGCTTCGAGGAGGAAAAGTTAGCGGACTGAGGAGAAGAGAGAGGAGTTGCTTGAGAAGAGCCACTAGTCGAACGAGGCAGAAGCTCAAGCTTCCTACGAGCTAGTTGAGGGGTAGGGGGAAGGGAGTTGCTCGCTACAGAAGGGTTAAGTACGAACTCGTAAGGCGTAAAATGGATGGTGACATTCAAAACTCACGTGAAGTACTACCGGCTGCGGGTTTTCGCCGCCAAGGGCCTTCGTCAGCGACCGGCGGTGGCGGTCCCATGTCTCCTCGCCCCCTTACTGAACCGAACCGACCGCCCGGCTGATTGTCAGAACTCGGGCTCGGTCTGAACTTGCCTCCAATAGTCCATTTTTCTTCCGCATCAGCAGGGCTCGCTTCTCCTTCATGTGTAGGCGTCGAGAAGCCCGAGCCACGCCTTCGGACGGGTGGCGCGTCAGTCTCAATAGGGAAGCGAGGGGGAGGACGGTTAGAACGCCAGTCAGCGTTGGTGTCCGAGACGGCCTCGCGGTTCTCCGATGGAAGCCCATCATAGCGTCGGCGGTTCCCAGAGTCGCGGCCGAGATCAGGGAGAGGACCATCACGACGCCATGGGCCTGCGAATTTATCATCATCCGATTGTCCAAACCCACGTCCACGTTCTCGCTCTTTCGCTGAACATATCATTAGCATAAAACGTTTCGTTTTTGATGATAATCAATGCAACGCACGTGGGTCTGCTACATTTACTCGAATCGACCGACTGTGGAAAGACTAAAAATAATTTGATTTAGCAGTCGTTGAGCATTACACATGTAAGGGTGTGCGAGGTACTCACAACCCCATTCTTTGTAAGAGCATCTTTCAAACCGTCTACAGTAAAGAACTCAACATAACCGAAGCCCTTCGGTTTTTCCTCGCGATCACGAATGATTTTGGCCTCTTTGACCTAAAGAACAAATATTATTGGAAATTAAGCTGTGTTATGATCAAGAAAGGAATAGACTTACCACCTCCGGAGTACCAAAGAAAGCACCCAAATCAGCTTCTTCGAGGTCAAATGCCAGATTTCCGACGAAAGCGGTGAACGGTGGTTGTGTTGGGAGCGGAACATCTTCTCGAGGGGCCAACGGAGCACGGTCAGCTAAAGTGACAGAGGCGCATATGATGAGTTCCTGTAAGTATTGGATTTCGATTAAGAGGCTCACGTCGCGTAGAGAGAAAGTCATCTCTGCCTCTGTAATCCCTGCCTAGCCCATCGTCACTCCTCGGTGCCGCTGAGCAATCGTATTAGCACGGTAGTTAAGCGCGCCGCACGCAGAAGATGTGGTGGCGCAGTACTCACGAGCAGTCGGCAACATTGCGTCCATTTCATCCGCCCATGATCCCAGCTCTATAATGCAGGCATTGTGAGTCGATTGTACAGGGGCAAATAGGTGGACTTACTGCCATCATCTAAGAAGGCATTGAGCGACATCTTCTGTCCTTTTTTTGGCGCTGTGGAAATATTCAACCACTGTAAAGGGCTGCAAGAGATCATTCATACTTACCCATGATTTAAGAATCGTTTGGCGCAAACTCAATTTGCGCGAAATAAAGTGTATAATGCGATGGTCGATGTCAAGAGAATAGATGACAGAGCCGCTGGACGATGCACTTTCAAATTTCTCACCTTGATACCAATTACGTAACAAAGGAATTCGCGCATTTATATTGCACCGGTCCGACAACCTCGCCAACAACTTGAACAAGCAAAGTGGAGCATAAATCCGCACTTAGCCATCGTGCGTATAGCATGCCCTGCTCAATGCTGCCATGAATACGGTCACTTTGCAGAAATCATTTTTATTTTACCCCTTTAGTCAATTTTTCATCCGTGTCCAGCCATGACGCAACGTCCGGCTCTACTACTCTATATGCGATAGTAACCTTTGTTGTGCGTCCATGGATGATGCATATCATCTTTATACAGTGTTTGTGGATGTCTCCTTCTCTTACCATAGCACAGAGTAAAGTTCACATGAGTAGAATTAAAATTAATTCGCTCATCATGCATTGGACACATAAATGTCGTAATCACATCGTTACCTCGTCGATGTACGAGATGGGCCCCGTCGCCTAGGTACTCCGATGGCAGACTGCAGCTGTTATCCGTGTCGGTTTTCCTCCGCATATTCGAAGGTATATATGAGATCGGCATCACCAGGAACCGTAACACCAGTTCAGAAACAATACTCAAGGCCGAAAAGCAACGAAATCGGAAGTACTGATACAAGTCCGTTTACCGAGTGGCTCATGGCGCCAGAAGAGGATTGAGTTGGATTCGCAGACTGAGTTGAAGTCGGAGTCGTAGCAGTCGCCCCACTCGATGATACGGGCACAGGGATGATCGTAACGGTCCCCGAATCGGTCGAGAAAACTGTTGTGACATTTGCGCCATTTGCAAGAATCTGTTCCAAAGTGCAAACTCCATGTGAAGCAGAGTCGAAACCACATTCGACATGAAACTCAGCAGAGACAGAACCAGTCGATTCGGCTGCGAATTCAGATACGTGAGAAGCATCTTGTACAAGCGTTACTAAATAAATATAAGATTCCAGTCAGCAAAGTCCATAATTATAATGATAAGCCATTTTGTTTTATGGACTGCACTTACATGTAACGGGAGGTGCACTATTGGTGGGTGATCCGGAAAGAACATAAGTCGTCCCGTCAGTGCCTGTGCCGACTACTTCGCCTTGTAGAGAACCACCGTTGGCATCAATAATTGGGAAGAGAGAGGCAGTCGACACTTGTCCACATGCTCCTAAAATTATCATTTAAAAAAATGTTTCCCTCTTCATTTTCCAGACGTTACTTTGTATACTGGCGATGCCGAGAACGATGAGTATCGTCAATCCGATCATGGATACTTGCTTTGAATTCAAGAGACGAGGGCAGGAGTTCTCCCAGGTGAGACGACTGATACCAAGACTATGTGGTCCAGGACAAGAAGGAAAAAAATTGGATAGCCCCTTTTAAATGAATTTTTTCCGTATTGACACAGATCAAACGTGTTCCGAGAAGTTGATGCTAGAGAAAAATAAATATTGAAATTTAGAGCCGGTGAGCCCGAGCTTCCGAGAACATAAGATGATACTTACCTATACAAGTGGTATTGTCTGACTACACTGGAGATGCCAGTTGTCTTTTTTAGAAAGGTATAATGTGCGAGATATTTGAAAGTAGTATAGAAAAATAGAATAGATGCATGTGATTGAAAGTAGAGACTCAGAGAAATGTAATGTCGCATCGTGCGAATAGCCACGTGCATTGCATGTGTACATGTGTACTCACAGCGTTTCTTTCTTCTTCTGAATCTTCATCTTCATCTTAATTCGCTGATGCTTTTACTTCCATGGGAGGGGTGCTCTGTTTTTCTTCCTTCCAAACACCTGCGACTCGAGGCTATTACCGAATCCCTACCTATGTATATAATGACAGGAGCAATACAGCACAAACCATATTCCGATGCAGGTCGTTGATGCCGCAATTGGCGAGATAAATACTGTATTGCGTCGGTGCGGTCTAGGTTCTGGCACAGTCTCACAGATTAATTCATGCTTATAACAACCCGGCGGAATACATTGTGATCTGCATCCGTGTCACAATACCCTTGTGCATTGGTTGCCTTGAATGCTTGCTTGTTGCTGCTTTAAACTCTCACAAGTACAGGGTCCTGTGCATGAAAAATTGTTTCTGTAATGCAAGCTTTTGTTGTATAGTTATTGGCGCCTCTATTGAGTCGTGACTCATTCGCTGTTTACTGCTGTAAGTATAGTATTGTACACTCTATTCTCCAAGTATCACATCGGTCGTCTCACATTGACGGTACCCCTTGACTCCACCTTAGATCCTCTGTTTGCCATACATACCTGCACTTGAACACCTGTGACCCACACAAGTTCCAAATTATTCAGAACCACAAATCCCGGGATGTTACTTTCTGGAATGCCACAAGTCCTCCGAGACGGAAAGTTTATCTTAGGACTCCATTGATACGGAAGAAGTGCGTAGTGATTGATGTAGAAGAACATGATTTTCACGGAATCATTGACTACCGCTTCGCTCGCAGATGCGCCAGGACAAGATGCATGACTACTGACCGTATCGTTTTGTGCAAGTTGGTTACGGAATGTATTCCGCATCAACTACTGCTGAAGGCAAAAATAGTCATTGCAGTATCCCTTGATCTCAGTTAAGCTAAGCGTGTAATCAATCAGTAGCACCCCCTGCCAAGGGATCTCTGAACCCAACAGAAAGCAAAGGCACAATATACATGGTTAATCTAGAAAACAAATCACGACAAAAATATATCCGGCAAACAATCCCTTCAATACTTGATGAAGCCCCAAGTCCTTACCAGAATGCCAAACCGAAGGAAATGAGGGGAACAGCGGCAAGAAGTGATGCTGCACAAGTCAATCCAATGGCGGAATTGGAACCACCGACTTTCAACTCGATCGGCGAGAGTGAAATCGTCGCAGATGCGACTGACGTTGTCGCGGTTTCGATACCATTCGCACTGACGTTCAAGATGACACTGCAGGACCCTTCATGGTTTTCATCCATACTGCAGTCCGTGATGAACTCTGCTTGTCCGCCTGCTGTACTGATAGCGATACGTTCTGATAGGTGCGACGCATTCTCTACTAGCGTGGCTGTATTACAGGTATGGTACATTATTTATTGTGTTCAATGCCGGTGTGTGCAACAAACAGTACATACCGGTTGCCGGTACGCCGGAGAAGATCCCTGAAATGGCATACGTCGTCCCGTCGGAACCTGTCCCAAGAATCTCTCCTTGGAGGGATTCTGCGTTGGGATCCCCAGGGAACACTGTCGCAGTGGTCAACTGGGAGTGAACACCTGGACAACATACAATATGTAAGTTGAAATGAAGGTCTTGTTGAAGACAGTGCAGTTACCTTGCAACGAAGCTAGGCCAGCAACGGCGAGGAGGGGAACCACTAGGAACATAGTGTAGATGAGGTGGTGCTAAGAGTTGCAACTAGCTGCTTGATGAAGTGCAGGGCGGAAGTTAACAGCACTTTTATACTTGTTCACCCATTCCCATCATAAATGGTCAGGCTTGCAACAAATAATATGATGTCGCTATATGGAATACGCGGCGTGAATGCACAGGCGCGATTTCTTTTTACAGATTCCAGATTCGCGAACGCTTACCGAAAGCGCATTCATGCCGGATCAGCGCCAAGTGCTGTGCTCTCTCCAGTTCAATCTTGTGTACAAGATTAAGACAACTTTATTGCCGCTGTGGAAGTCTGCATCTATGATCGTTCGCTACACGATTCTGATATCCACATATCTGCAAGATTCAGAAATAGCCAAATGACCTGCTGGTGTGTCATGGCCATAATTGACGGGTTTAGCAGAGCTGATAGTAGTAGATGCAAGTGTTCGAACTTCGGGTCGTTGTATAGCTTCAGCCGGAACTTCATGGGCGCTGTCCACCCGGCTGTGTTCTCCCGCATCACTAATATTCATCTAGATATCATTGGGAAAATCAAGAGTATGTTCACACAGTGCAGCGTTCATGACAGCACCGCAATATACAGCATGATAGAAGCAATTAGCTTTGCGATGTACTGAAAAGTCTTTACATACAGGATCTAGAGTGTCTCCTCGACGCTCGGGAATCATGAGTAACAACGAGCGTCTCATAATTTGCCGGAAGATACACTTGCTACGAGTGCTTAAAGATGAAAAAGCCGAAGTCCGCCGCGTGCGGGTCACATTGTAGGGCATAGGAATCGACCAAAGGGGTTAGCAAAGTAACAGGTATCTGATTTAACTTGGTCTCAAATTAGCTCTGTAAGTGATACATTAACAACATGCGCACCATTAAACTCCTAGTAGACGATTCGAGCACGCTTTCAACCGATGTATCTATAGCATCAATGTACTGAGATGAACGGAGCAACGCGAACCGCATGACCGCGATAAGACTTTGTAGAAACTACAGTAAAATATGTCATAATGCATTAAGATTTTCTGTAACAAAGTTGAGTTTACCTGCTAAAATTGTATGCAATAATGCATTGGATTCAGTCTTCTCCCAACGTTATGCATTATGACATATTTTACTGTATGCACCAACTCGACGCATTACAACGGCTGCTTGCCGGTACATGCGCTAATCAGCTCTCCTTCGACTCGTATAGCGCTGACAACCAATAACAGATGATACAGAGGTCGCCCGAGACAGTGACTCCGGCGCACGGTGTCGTGCCAAGCAGTAGCAAGCATCATAATAGGAATACTCGTACAGATGAATTTTCGGCACCAGAGGGGCTCATGAGTCGCAAGACCAGTACTAGTAGCAGGGAAGGTCGTCCAAATGTCGGTATTGCTATCCTAAGTTCCGTGCGTTAGTAGTGGGTGTGAGAATTCTGCCGTTCTCTTGAAGACCGCGTAGTTCAGATTAGTATGCGACCCTGTGGCAGGATGCGATCAGACCATTGATTTCATTCGAAATAACATAGGGCTAACGAGACCACAGTGGACCGAACGCCGAGTTAGTCGGTATCCTTCTAGGGGTGGGACTGCCAATGCATAACGTGCAGCAGCACTTACAAGGGACTTACCTGAAACAATCAATAAAATCAGTTTAACTAGAATGAGCGGTGATTCAACGAGCGGTGATGCAATGATTAATGCTGCCTATACAACGTGCACACCTGGGGTCCTTCGCATAGGTATTATAGAGCCCATCACTAAGTGATTGTTCAAGACAATGAATCTACTATCCATACTCATCCTTGCGATAGTCCTGACATCTTCTTCCTTCAAACCGAGGCCGATTGGTTTTTCGGCTAGGAGCAATGCGTATTCTCCAAGGAGCGAGTTACGGAAGGGCAGCGTATCATCCGTCTAGACAGCAATGACAGGCTGAGTTGATATGCTGGATTTTTATGGCTAACTCACGCATATTGCAACAGGATGGCTCAGGCTGAAGTGGTGGTTCAGATGATGATCCTCCGGGCTTTTTACTGTCTTGCAACTGGAACAAATAGAAGCTTCAGCATACAGTAAATTTCGACGTCAAATACAGGACATACAGAATGTTTGATGTCAAACAAATCTCTATTGCAATCTTGTTATCGAATACGAATTTCTTCGCTTCCTCGTCCAAGAATGTGGCATGCCCTAGTCGCTCTGGTTTTAGTGAGAGGAGCTGCATTGTTTCTTCTGCTGTATTGGATTCTGTCTGAACGATACATGAGACAGGTGAGTCCGGAGATGATAAAATGAACATACTTCAGCTACATGAAGAGTTAAGCCTAAGCCAGCGGTTTTTGCCTTCTTTATGAATTCCGAGAATGCATTCATATCCCCGGCCTGAAAATTTCGTGAGCAATTGGACATGAATGCTACAATTGTTCTACCAAAGGATCACCGCACAAATCTATAGCAACAATACGTCTTCCTGCCAATTTGGAGGCAATGGCAATGTCTATGCACTCAGAAACGACATTGATGGGCATTTTACGATCCAAAGAAAGAATATAAGCGACCTCATCCTCGGGAAATTTCTCAACCTCGTCTAGGACAGTCTCTACATATTGAGCGCGACTCAGGTGAGGAGTTGATCTCGGCGTGCTTCGTAACTCAAGATATGTGCACTGTCTATCGGCTCCATCCAGGAAGTCTTCCAGAACTGCACGTGTAGCCCGAGCCAAGTTTTCACGAGTGGACGTCAATGCGTAAATCGCTGTGAATAAGCTGAAGAAATCGCCAATGGTTTCCAAGTTAACGCCTTCGCGAAGCTTTTGGATACCATCGTCGATTGCAGCCGATGAAACAGTACCCGGCTCTGCAATATACGTGCTGGCAAGCCCTTTGAGGCAGGAAAGTGGAATGCATCCATTCAAATGAGCGTGTAGTTCGGCCTTCGGAAGAGATTGGATAAAGGCAATTTGCTCTGAAGAAAGAGAGGCAAGCGCCGCTGCAGAAGGTCCGAAAATCTGCCTTGACATAGTAGAGGGGAGTGGGGTATATAACTGCAAGACTTGTTCAACTAAATACTGTGAATGGATCGAGTCAGAGATGAGTGAACCCGGACACCCGGCTGTTAGCCGTTTGAATGTCCCGAAGGCTTCCTTATATAGAAAGTCGTACCTGCTTTTGGCAATTTGAAATTCACACAAGCGGCTGACACTTACTTTCTAACCGACCACGACTGGCAGCATGAACACCTCTCTCTTTCTTCGTCTTCCTCAAGGACGACTTTCATACGACATGCGAACATCCGTATCAGTCACCTCTTTCTTTTCTTCCCTCAGGGGCCAAACTTCGCAGTTGCTTATACCCATAATTAAGGTTGTCGGCCCGACGGATCCGGCACCTTCCCATCTCACTACTGGTCCGAACATTATTCGCCGCTGGCGAGGTGCTCTAGGCGCTTTAGAAGACAAGACACTGCAGCTCCCTAGTCAAGGTCTCACGAGTGGTGCTCGCCTTGCTCTTGCTCGGAGGGGTTTTGCTTCTGGAAGTTTCCGGCTCAATTGTTCCGAGAGCCTTTATGTCCGGGACTCGCGAGGACTCGCAATGTTCCAGCGCATTGAGCTGGAGGAAGAATTGGAAAAAGCACGTCTTGGGCTACGCGAACGTCCGCCTATGCGAGCTGCCACTGGAGTGAAGTCTACGGAACAATCGGACGAGGACACCCGTCCAGAGACCGACTCGTTGGCTGGTCGTCAAATTACTAGAAGACCTTCATTTAGGACGCAAAGAAGAAATATACAAGCAGTGCAAAACATGCGTTTTAATTCTGGTGGTCTCTCGAGCTGTGCTACATTTACCGAGGGTCTCTGCCACCTGGAGGACTATGTTCGTGCCAGCGACTCCGATCTTCCGGCGGTATGCTCTGAGAAACTCGTCTTACCATCGACCTCGGCAGTGGAGGTGGACTCGTCTTGGCTTAATTCCCTCAGGAAGATGACCTTTTCTGCTGGTGACAGCACGAGGTTGTCTAAGACCAAAAGGAGAAAATCCGCTGGAGATGTTATGAAATCATTCTCGTGTGTCGACTTGCACGCGTCTTTCTCTGTGACTGAACTGACAGTGGCTGGTAGTCTTCCTTCACTTGACTCTAAGGACGACTCGCCGTCCAAGAGAGACCAGGCTATGAGTCCAGTTCACCAAGCCGAAGAACAGTGCGGACCCATTATAGGGCCAGCAACAAGTCTTCGTCGAGAAGGCTCTTGGACTCGTCTTTGTCGTAGACTATCCGGCAAAGTTTTCAAGAATCGACCACAAGGCTCAGAAGAAGCATCAGGTCTGGATCAATCATTTAGCGTTGCCACTGGTCTGTTCCGTATTCTCGAGCAAGAAGTACCTGCATCCTGCGGCCAACCTTTAACAGCAGGCTTAGAGCCGATCTAGTCTCTCCTATCTCCTTGTGCCTTCCATCTTTGACGCTTATTCGTTTCTGGGCTGATTTTCTCGTTCTCGTTTCACGAAACCTTCTTGCATTGAGTATACCGTTGTATTTATTCTACTGTTTGGGTTTGTTGGCTACTTCTTTCCGTCTTCTTTCATACAATCAAATTTTCTTCTACCTCATCTTCGACGTTTCAGCAGTTGCGAAACAGAGCATGAAAGACGGTAAAACGTTTAACTGATTACTGCATTGAATCTGTGAATCTATGTGCTTCCGAATCCTAAAGCAAATCGAAGTCGAGGCCAGTTCGCGCATGAATAACTTTCCCAGAACTTCATTTCTCGTTTCTTCATCATCGGTACCATCTATCTCCGAGCTAACTCGCTTTACTGTCTGAATTGAACACTGTAGACTGTTCCTGCTAGCGCACTTTCGTCCATATTACCCGCGAGTCTAGTTGTACTGCCGTATGTTTTGGAATGGTATCTCGCTTAGATGAGTTTAATGAATGTATTCGCATTCCGGGGAGATTATGATCTAACGGCGTGAGGGTACTTCTTTCTTCACATTTTATCCGCGGACTACTCTTGAGTTCCCTCTTTCTTTCCAGATGGTGGTACCCGGCGTACGACCATTCTCCTAGTCTGCATTCGCTCACACGTTTGCAGAGAGTACTTCGGCACACGTAAGGAAAGTCAGAAGAACCATAACTATGCGAAGCATAGTCCTCATTCTGTTATTAATATTATTGGTCACTTTCCCAAAAGAATCATTAAATTACTTTGCGGTGAACCTGGCTTTTATTACACAACGTATCTACTGCTGATTTTAAGACGTAACCACGGTAGGACATAGTGGATAACAACAATACACTAGCAATTGGAGGTGATGGGGGTGTCAGCAATTAAACTGCTTTAGTACACGGGGAATTCTGGGTCAACTTCAGCAGCCCAGCTCCTCAGTCCCCCGATAAGATCTACGATTTCTTCTACAATCTCGTTTGTGTCCTCCCCGCCGCTACTGGTATCCCTCAAGGCATCCGCGGCGATCTGAGAATCGTTACCAAGTCGACAGACGAAGACTGTTAATGGCTTTTCTTCTTGTGTTTCTTGTGTTTCTCCGTCTTCGTTTGCTTCGTTTGAAACGGAGGACTTTGTTGGACTTTTTCTTCCATTATAATTATATGATGTATATGATGTATATGATGTTGGAGATGCTACGATTTCTGAGAGCGGTGTATCTGGGTGAAACAAGGTGAGCTGGGGTAAGCGGAGTGGAATATGGAAGAAAGAAGAATGTTTTTCTTACTTTGCGAGCTGGGGAGGTGGCAGATACCGAATTCGACGGGGCTTCGGACGTCTAATATCCGAATTGAGCGCGAGTTGGATTGGGATTGTATCCGTTGGTTTAATTCCTATGAAACAGAATAAAGTAGATGTCTAAGCATTGAGATCAGTTTCAAGAGCGTCGGGTATAATGTACATTTGCGCTAATTCTTCTTCGAGAGTTGTTTACGACAAGTCCGCGTTGTACCCAATTTGGTCTGGGTCCACCACAGAAGGTGATATAATCGAGTTCCGAGATCTTGCCAATCCTCTCGCCTTCGTCCCCGCAGGCGGGACAGTTTTTCCGACGTGTGCGTAGTTTGACGCTTCGGAATGGAGGCGAGGCGAGGGCGGAGTAGACGAGTAAAGAGGGTTTGCCGTCTGTCAAACGAATACCATGCGAATTGTTGAGTGAATTATTAACCTACAGGTAGGCCGAGGAGAATAACAAGAATTTTACGATACGAACCGTGTAATCCGGCTATGATCTTGATTGCCTCAAGTGCTTGTAAAGAACCAATGACACCCGTCACCGCGCCCAAGATACCCGTTTCTTCGCAGCTTCCCGACATTTCCGGGGCGGGCGGTCTTGGGAAGAGACATCGATAACATGGTCCGCGCTCTGGGGCTCCGCCGTTGTTGTTTTTGTGTTCGTTTTGTTCGAAGGGAAGAGGAAGGTTGTATACGCAGAGTTGGCCGTCGAGTCGTTGGGCTGCGCCACTGACGAGAGGCCGATTGAGGCGCACGCAGGTATCGGAGAGAAGGTACCGCACGGGCGCGTTGTCTGTACAGTCAATGATCACTTCGTATTGGGATAAGATGGATTCTGCGTTTGAGGGGGAGAGAGCGGTGTTGTGTTCGTCTATTCGTGTTGTGCTGTTTAGTCTATAATTGGAATTAGAATCAAGAAGGAGGAATGTGATTGTGCATTTTGCGAACTTTTTGAGAGCCTGAGCGGCGGATTCGACTTTTGGTATTCCGATAGTTGCTTCTGAGTGAAGCACTTGACGTTGTAGATTGGAAAGCTCAACCACGTCGTGATCAACAATACCGAGTCGACCTGGGCGTAAATTATTTGAGTAACCTATTTACAGCAGTAAATTGCTCAAGAAGGAACATTTACGGACCAACGCCTGCAGCACAGAGATATTGTAGTGTAGGACATCCAAGACCACCAGCACCGACGACAAGTACAGAGGCATTTTGCAGTTTTACTTGAGCTATTTGCGATGTGGACGAGGAAAATACATAATATCAAACTTAGTCAAATTTTGAGCTTCAAGGAATGACGGGTTGTTGCACACCGGGAAGTCCCAGGCCATCAATGATCATTTGACGACCATATCTTCTGTAGTCCGACAGGGAGGAAAGGGCAGGACTTGCATTGCAAGAGGACATCATAAAGGTTTCTTACAAACGATACTTGTTGAATTGGTGTAGTGTGATTATGTGGTTTCCCACGATTACATTTTGTTTTCAAAATGCCGCCGCCGCTGTTTGACGACGCTGAACGACGTCGAGCAAACACCAGCGTCCAAGGTGCGTCCCTTACAGAACTGTAAAGTTACAAAAAAGCTCAGCTAATAGATATTTATTTCGTAGGGGGATGTGAGGATGCCCGTCATCCTCTGGAACACTCTCCGTGCTCGATGTTGTCCGAACTCTTCGATTTTATTATCATCACTCGCTGGTCGTCGTCGTAGCGCGACGACAGCATCTGCCGCGTTTACTTCGTATTTCTGGCGAAATGACCAGTGGGCTGCGGGTGTCCACCGACGGCGGCTTTTACACCCGCCTCTAGCCCCTCGACGTGATGTTGTTGCTCAAGCTACAGCTGCTTTTGCGCCTGCGGCCCTTCCTCCAGAGACAAGTACACTCAAAGACGTCGAGCTAGAGACGAACTATCCACCTTCGCCTTCTGTCGTGCCATACCGACCAATCCCTCGTCTCACTCTCCCTCGTCTCATCACATGTTATTCTCAACTCTCAAAAGACCGATTAACGGTACTCATAGTCCTCACCGCCATGTCCTCCGTCGCTCTCTCCCCACTCCCAACGACCGTCCCCGTCCTACTTGCAACAGCACTCGGAACAGCACTCTGCTCCGCCTCCGCTAACACACTCAACCAAATTCAGGAAGTACCCTTTGACGCTCAGATGACTCGAACGCGAAATCGACCACTTGTAAGAAGGGCGATGTCGACCTTGCATGCAACAGCTTTTGCGTTTGTGACGGGTGTAGCTGGTCCGAGTTTGTTATGGGTTTGTGTGAACCCTACGACGGCATTGCTTGGTGTGGCTAACATCGCGCTGTACGCGGGTGCGTATACGTACCTCAAACGACGGAGTATATCGAATACGTGGGTTGGTGCTGTCGTTGGTGGTATTCCGCCTGTTATGGGTTGGACGGCATGTGGAGGGCACCTACTTCCTTCAGTGGATTATCCTATCCATATGTTCTTGCCATTTACTTCTGCGGCCGCGTCGCTCCCTCCTGCGTTAGCGGATAACCCACTCGCACCGATCGCGCTGTTCATGTTCCTCTACAGCTGGCAATTCCCGCACTTCAACTCACTCTCGTACTTTGTTCGCGAATCGTACGCCCGAGCGGGGTACCGTATGCTCAGCGTTATCTCACCTGTGCGGAACGCAGCTGTTGCGCTACGACATGCGCTTCTGCTCGTACCGATTTGCAGCGTACTCTTCCCGTTGAGTGGACTTGTTGGATGGGGATTTGCGCTGACAAGTCTTGTGCCTAACGTCATTTGCGTTCGACATGCGTATGCATTTTGGCGTGTAGGTGGGAATAGCGAGAAGGCGGCAAGGAAGTTGTTTTATACGTGTTTGTGGTACTTGCCTGTTGTTATGGCTCTTATGATGGTACATAAGAATGGGCTTGATTGGACGGGGTGGTTGAAGAAGGAGGATTCCGACGAGAAAAAAGAGGAGTCCAGTAGGGAAATGTAATGTATTGTAGGATATATAATATGATACAAGATGAGATGCAATAATCCAGTAATCATTTCGCTTTTCGTTTTGCTTCGCGAGCTTTTTTGAGCGCTTCCACGCGTGCTCTGAGTAGTCCGACGCGTTCGTCTGCTTCTTCTTGTACTCGTTCCTGTGTATTCATTGTAAGAAATAGTTATTGAACTGGGTAAAACGAGAAGTAGCGTACCTCTTCTATTAGTCTGTCCATGATGAGTTCGCGGTCCTCTTGTTCCTTCCGCCTTTGCTTCTCCTCGTCAGTTTCTTCTTTCTTTTCCTCGAGTGGCTCAGTTTCGCCAGTAACCGCAGGAGGAAAGCCCGGTGCGCTAGGTACGAGCTCTGGCTCTGCAACAACCGTCGCGCGTTCGAATGCTGCTCTCCGTTCGTCCTCTTGCTCTTCGACCGCTGCGCTTGGATTGAGTAACGACGCTTGGAACTGTTCCCATTCGAGGTCGATTTGTGATTTTGGTTTGTCTGAAGGGGCGTTGGCATTTGGTTGTGCAGTTCCTGGTTCTTCGCCTCCGTCTTCGTCTTCATCGGCTGTAGAGAGTATAGGTGCTTGTGACGGGTCTGAGAAGAAATCTGCTGGAAAGCCTTTCGTTTTGCTAGACGGGGGTTGGGTAGGTTCCGACTCGACGCTTGTTCTCCTCTTCTTTGCGTTGTTCGTAGGGACAGTACCATTTACGTTCTCCTCTGCAGTATCGACATCCATCTCAATCCCGTCGTCCTCCGCCTTCCTCTTCCCATTCCTCTTCATTTCTCTTTCCTTCTCCTCTTGTTCCTCCTTTGTTTTGAGAGTTCGTACGGCAACGCGATGCGCCTTGCTACCGATATGACCCTCCCACATTCCTGCGCTCTTGACGGGCACGCTGCATGCTAAGCATCGTAAAGTGCCTGTGGAGGTGTATGATGCGTAGGGGTGGGAGATACGTGCTGATGATTCTTGGCGCTTTGCGCGTAGGAGGGTACGGGCGTCGGACATGTTTTAATTTGGCTTGAACGTAGACGTTAGCAGACGTTGGGTGCTGTAGCAGTAGATCCATGTTGGGTCACGTGCTTATACTTTCGTCATGAAAAATCAAAGAAATTCAGCTGTTCAAGTGTTCTTGGCTTCACTCCATAACCTCACCTGCGTCAGCTAGTCACACAGGCTTCTCAAAGGTAGTGCAGGAATATTAGAGGGAAGGGGCAAAAATGTCTTCGTTCTTTGGAGCGTCGCCGTCTTCAACGTCTTTGCCAGCTACTGGCACTGTCGCTTCTGCTGGTACGTGTCACTCTCTTGGTTTTGAAGATAATTGACTGACGGTTTCTTGTGGATGATAGACATGCAAGCTCGAAAAGAGAAGCTCATGAACCAAATTCGTAACGAGATCGCTATCAACGGTGCTCAGGAACTCATAAACGTATGTACCTGTCTTTCCGCTTGACAAGTCCAATCTCACGCTTGGTTGTTTACAGAAAATAAACGAAAAGTGCTTTGCGAAGTGTATTACGAAGCCTGGGTCGTCGTTATCTGGTTCTGAAGAGGTCTGTGTTTCTATTTTGTTGCTCATACTTATTATTCGCGGGTATTGAGTGTGAGGCTGTAGACGTGCCTTTCGAGATGTATGGAGAGGCATATGGAAGCTTGTATGTCAATCTGTTGCTCTTACATTATTTTATAAACTTACGACGTGTGAATAGTCAACATTGTCAGCAGGACATATCACAGCCGACTCGCAAAAGAGCGCGACGAGAACACTTTCTCCTAATATAACTACGTAGACTTCGTCTCGGCACCGCTCGCAATATCAATATCGCTATTACACAAAAGCATGTCTAGATATCATCTACGCACTACTCTACATAATCACTTTTGTTCTGTCGTAACGCAATGAATCGCTTGTGATGCGTCTGTCTGGTCATCGGTCATCGCTTTTTGCCTCCTTTCGTAGGTTTCTTGTTTGTGCCTCCACGTGGTGAGTTAGATGCGGGAGTAACTGAAGCGTGTCCGGTTTTGTTGATGTGCTCGAAGAGTTTTGTGCGTGAAGGGAATAATGTTTCACATACGTTACATATCTAAGTGCTGGTTTAGTCTTTCGCTTAGAAATGAGGAAGAGAACATACGAGTTTTGTGGAAGTGTCAGCTGCTTCTGCCTCTGCTCGAGCTTTCTTCGCGGCTTCCCTTGCACGACGTTTTTCTTTCTTTGAGAGTTCGGGTTTCAGTGGGTCTTGGTGTGCGTCTGTGTCTGGTTCCGCTTCCTCTACGTCGTCCCTGTTGTCTCTGTCGCCTGCAAATGACGCATCAAGGGGCTTTGGCTTTGGAAGATCTTCCTTGACCGCTGCTTTCCGTCCTTTCTTCTTGCGCGATTTCAGATGGACGTCGTCTGAGTCCGAGTCGGATCCTGAGTCGGGAGCAGTGGGATGAGTTGAGATTGAGATATCTGGGGTTGTCTCTTCCTTCGCGACGGGTGTGTCGGATCTAGGGCTTGTTGGAGGTTCTTCTACTGTATCAGATTCTGCCGCTGTTGCTGCGTCCTCCTCATCTGCCTCTCGTTCGTCCAATTCGTTGGGATCTGTTTGCGCGTCTGCTAGACCAAGCTCTTCTTCTTCCGCTAACATTTCCTGACGGAGAGCCTCCATTTGTTTTAGGTGCTTTTTACTCCGAGCGTGACTATCCCATGCTGCCTCACTCCGGAACGTCTTCCGACACGCAACACATTCGAATACCTCCTCGCCGTCCTCGGATCCTGAGCCGTCGCCGTTCCGTCCTCCGACTCCGCCACCGTTACGAGCACTCGAGCCCTCAGCGGTAGCCCATTCGTCGCCTGCGTCTAGTGCACTCGAGAGAGCGTCGATGTTCTGCCAGGATTGAGGAACGAAAGTGGAAGCGGCTGCGGCGGATTTCGGTTTCGCGTTTGTATGATTAGAAGGTGTGGATGTGCCTGATACGCCCCCGCTGCGTGGAGAAGCGGCTGCTTTGGCAGATGCGAGTAGGGCTTGCTGCGCGATGTGTGCTTTGTAGCGTGGATCGCGTTTTCGGATGAATTTCACTAGTGACTACAAATAACAGAGGGTCAGCATGAAAGGTAAATATGGTGTGAGGATATGGTTTGAAGGACGTACTCGGACGGTATCGTTATACTCTTGTCTGGCCGCTTCGCGTGCTTTCTTGTTGTCTCGCTCCATAAGTCGGCGGACTTGTCGGTCAGGCGCATCATTGATGTTCCATTTGTCGGCCCAAGTGAATTCCTTCGCGGTGCCAAACCCGAGCCAGAAGTTATAGAAATAGCGTGCGCCCTCCCTATTGCTGTTTTCGCCAGCATTAGATGCCGAGGCGCTAGTCCACGTCCATGTTGAAGTTCCGAATGGAGGATAGTCGGAGAGGGTATGTGAGGTTAGGGAACATTCGTCCGTGGCGAGTCGAGTGAAGAGGTTACGGTAGAGTGTAAAGAATCCCTACGCAGCAATTGTATTAGTTATCGCGTCAAAAGGTAAAGGAGAGGTGGAGGCATACTGTATCGCTGTCATCAAAGCCAGTCCAATTCGATGCATTGAAGAAAGGCGCGAGGTGGTTGACAGTGAGTCCTCGATCACCTGGTCGTCCACTACCGCCATTGCCCCTCCGGACCTCCTCAAAGACAGTTTCGGCATCGGGCTCAGGTACGAGGGACGCACGATGAGAGTCATACCATGCGCGCTCCTAGCAACGCAAACAATTTTTTGACAGTGACACAAATATTAAGCAAGATTAATTAGTGAAAGATTGGACATACTTGTTCATCACTTAACACCTATATGGCGAGAAGCCGGGTATGGCCTGCGTTAGTGAGCTCTTAATAGTACATCGCTAAGATGGTGATGAACGACGTACCTCGTATGCTTGTTGGATTGCAGCAAATCGCTTTGTTGCTGCCTCGATGTCGTTGGTATTCTTGTCTGGATGGTGCTTAAGCGCGAGTCTACGGAAGGATCGCTTGATTTCCTCCGCTGTTGCATCTTCTGCTACTTCGAGTAGTGCGTAGTAGTCTTCTGGTCCTTCTTGTTCCTCTGTAGTACTTTGGCGAGATTCATTTGCGCCCATGGGTTAGAGGCGGGTGTACAAAGAGGATTCGAGGACGATGGAGTCGTGAGGCAAAATGCCTCTATGCGTCGATCACTTGTGTGGTGTAAAGTTTACTTATGTTGATTATTAGTCATTTTCGACATTGTCCGTGAAATAACAGAAAAGGACATTAAACAAAGAATGTACAGATGATAAACACAGCGCGATCATTGAGTGAATGGTAGGAAAGGGTGAGAAAGGGATAATGCAAGTCTATATACACGAGGCTATTCAATGCCTACTCATCCTTCTTGTCCAAGCGGGAGGAGATCGAGGACATGATCTGCCTTATACGGCGCTTCTCAACGAAATAACTGAAGGAATGAATCAGCTGACGGAAGTAATTCATATATACAGTATACAACCTACCATACTGCGAGCAAGACAAGTCCACATGATGCACCAACACCCAGGTGGAGAATGCATGGCTTTGACTTGAGGACACCCCGTCCCGCGGACTTTGCGATATCCTCGACCCCGGACAATCGGGCAGTCAGACGCGTGACGACCCCTGCGACTGCGAACGCGAACATGACGGAAAACGGAGGAAGCACATCCTTCCAGGATAACATTTTGATAGCGTTCTCCGAGTATGGGCGTTTATGAACCAGTGTAGAGATGAACTGTGTGCAGTAAAGAATCCGAGCACTCAAATTTGCAATGTTCGCGTATACGACGGCCGTATCGCCAAGTCCCCCGAAACGGTACAGGCCAATTGTGAGTAGGATGTATGCCGCGGAACCACCAGCCATCCATCTGTGACGGTACGATGAATAAGGAAGATCACCTCACTGCGGAGTTCTTTTAACGTACTGGGACTGCCTGGCCAGGGCCTTTGGTGTTGCAACACTAGAAACGAAGGCCTCGAGGATGCCGTTTATCGCGAGCACAGGAATATACCACACCCAAACAGATAACACGGCAGGTGCACTCGTGGCCAAGTACCTAACTTGGGAGTACCCTTTCAGCTTACTGAGAATGGATTCGGAGTAAACAAACTTGCCTTGGCGGAAGTATTACGGATAGCACCATTGTCAGATACGGTGGGGCGAGACTCAATAAAAAAAGACTGAAATGGCTGTAAAATAGTAATAGCGATCCAAGGCGTGCGAGTGAAGTCCGAAGAGAGGCTATATCAGGAGTTCCAGCATGCCCTAACGAAAGGGACTTCGAAAAGAAGAGGCGGGATGTCTCTTCAATTGGCTGGAAGAAGATGCGTGCAATTAGGGCGCCTGACCGGGAACACTGGTCAACTTAACATGGAAAGGAGACGGAGGCATCGGGGTACCGAAGGAAATGATGGACTTACCATAGTTATTTGCTACAGCATACCCGCCTTGATCTTTCAGAGGGCTGATTCGCGATATAATTATCTTCAGGAAGAGATAGATAAATTCTATCAGGAGAAGAATAATGATACCGGAAGCAGCATAGCTACCTTGTCGCCCTCAGTCAGAATGTGCTTCAGGAAACCTTGTGCGGTCATGGCCAAAGATACTTCCAGTAATCTCTCATCAAAATAGTGCTGCACTTTGGATGTCAGCCATCTTAACGTTGATGGCCCTTCGGCACTGACGTGTTGGTTAAGTTAATGTCCCGTCGTCAAGAGGGATGGAAGCTCACTTGCGTGACGCAGGCCTTGTGCTCCTTGGAGCCCGGAGGATGAGTGATACTGATTTTCCGACCTTAGGGACATAGACAAGAAGCAAAGCTATTGAGAAAGAAAGCTGGCCGAACGCAAACGCTAATAAAGCAAAGCGTCCCGAGTTCTTGGACGACGAATCGATTAAGAGAATGGTGACCGTTACAACGCTCTTGAGTATGATTGCGGAGCCCTCTGCGCGGACGCGCACCGCAGAATTTAGCTGCTGGACAGCCCTGCAGTTTGTGTCTCAAGATCATACGTGTATTGAATTATGTGCCTACGTACCTTATGTGCATGGGCTCGCTTAGCAATTCCAAAACAGCCGCACACGTATACAGAATAACAGTGGCATGAAAATACGGTTGCTCAGCAGTTGCTTCGGACGCAGAATAGAAGTAGAGAGTCGAAGTTAGGGACGAGACGAGGATCCCGAAGTAGACCGGCAAGAGTGCTATATTTGATACATGTAGGGATTGTTCCTTTTGAGCGTTTCCGTCTGCATCTGCTCTCAGAAGGGCATTTCTAAACCCTTCTCTACTAAGGAACAAGATAGTGTTGAGTAAAAGCTCGAGTTGTATTGATACGGTGCCATAAACGGCGGGAGTAGCCAGTCGGACTAGGGCCTGATTAAGCGCAAATGTAACAAGTCGCGAGAGCACCTGGAGTCCCATGAGCGACGAAGCCGTCTCGAGCGCTTTATTAGCAAGGTCATTCTGAGTTTCTTCTGACTTTTTATCCGGAGTGACGGTCTGCGAGCCCATTGCCAGTCGTCCTCGAGTTCTTTGGAGTGAATGAGTAAAAGACACGTCGAACGCACAATCAAGTCGCGTTGGCCGAATTTGGCGACGACGAGCGTTTAGCGTTTGCAACCTTCTTGTGTTCAATCTCAATGGTCAGTGAAACTCTCCGTGCCCCTTAATAAATCTACACTTCTCATCCGCTGCGACTGTTGTTAGGCGTCGCGCGTGGAGATTCTCAATGACGGGGGCTATCGCTCGGACGGGCGCAGACAGCATGAACTGCGCGATTTCAATATTGATCTTGCAGTTCGCGGTCAAGCCGATGGCTCTGCTATGGTTTCTCAAGGCCTCACTCAAGTTCTTGTAACAGTCTTTGGGCCAAGAGAAGCGAGATCCCCCACTCAGAGAATACATAATCGTGCATTCATCAATGTCGAAGTAAACATTGCGTCGTTCAGCACGAGCGAACGAAGAAAGCGCTCCAGGAATGACAAGTGAGCCCTCAATTCAGTTCGTTCACTTGTTGCTAAGCCTCCTAACTTTTCGCATCCCACCATGACAATATCAGACGTGTCTTAGAGTTTGCTGCGGCCATCAAGTCAACTTTTGAGCCGGTCATTCAAACGCATCTCTACCCCCGCTCAGAAATAGATATATTTGTCCAAGTACTGCAACAAGACGGGGGCCTTTTGAGCGCATCTATCAATGCAACCACGCTTGCGCTTATCACTGGAGGTATCTCTTTATATGACTATGTTTGTGCCGTTTCTGCCGGGGTGCATGCGACTCATCCTCTCCTCGATTTAAACACCCTGGAGGAAAATGACGTCCCCCATCTTACAACGGCAGTTATGCCTCGTACCCGCAAGGTCACACTGGTGACTTTAGAAACCCGCCTGCACGCGGACCGCTTTGAGGAAATTTTCAGACTTGCATGTGATGCAGGGGAGGTTGTCCACAAAGAGATGCGCCGCGCGATCCTGTCTAGAACCGGTCAGCTTGTACGTGCTTTGGACGTCGGGCTACAGGGCGCCGCGCTTCAGAGAGAAGCAGAAGACGACCAAGAAATGCCTCTTGACTAGTTCTTTGTTTTTGCCAAGGGCATTGGCCCGCGCCCTCCTCGTGCTTTGTGATCCCATTACATACTCTTCGAATTCAAGATCGCCGTGACAGTCTCGACTTTCTTCCTTCTCGAAGTCTAAAGGATATTGGATCTCGTTTCCAAGCGACATCTCCGACATCGCCTTGCGCGGGCCTTCGATCATCACTATTCTGTTTTGACACCATGACCTCGATGACTGCCTTCACAAGACAAGTCAAAGAGCCTCATCGAGAATTCCATCCGTTTCCCACAGCTTACAACACAGTCCCCCCCATCTGCATTTATCCAATTCCTTCGACCGCATTTTGACTATGCGACGATCCTCGCGCTGCCAAGGTCCGAAATTGAGGCAAGTAAATTCTCCGATTGACGGGAAACATGAAGAAACCATCCGTGCGTTTTCCACGTTCCGGTGGCCATTTCGCTGCGTCGCATATTCCTCGCTATTCGGGCACCTGTACACGGAGTATTGAAACAATTGTATCTCTACAAAAAATTCCGCATTCTTCAGCCTTGTGAGTATTGACATAAGCGGATTTATGTTTCTTGAAGACAAGCTTCGGGTCTTCCCAAGCAATTCAGAACTCGGCGCGTTGCCTGGAAATCCCGGAGTCGGTACTTAAGTGCTTCCGGGTCGGAGTGCTCCTCATTTTCAGGAGACACAACGATGTTACCTTGTGCCCGACTTCAGGTTCACGAGAGTTATGTAGGTAGTGAGACCGGACCGCCGTGGCTGCAATCTGTGTGTGTGCATCGTGTGCCTCGACATCCGACGGCAGTAGCATCAACTGGGCTAAGAATTGCTCGGCGAAGGCAAGGGAATGCGCCTTTAAGACGACGATTATCACTATGTTTGTCATCTTCCATGCCGTCGCGGCTTCTCGCTCGCAGAATGCCTCATCATCATCATGGCCTCACCCCGTTCCCCCCATGTGCCGCCTGTAGTTCTTTTTTGGCGTGGTAAACTGAAGAATGGAGAATGGTAAAACGTGCATGATGTGTGTGCACTTCCCCCCTTTGCGTTACTTTATTACCTATATCCACATTCTGGAAGCTCCATGATGGGCTCCTCGCGGGTGAGCGTGAGGCACAATCAAGCATCAGACTCCGTGTGTAATTTATATACACTTCAGGAGTCGTCGATCGGTCAGCGCGATAGTGTATGTTGTTGGAAGCGTGCGCTTATGAACGAAGCTAGCTTGTGTAGCGTGGCAACTCCTTCCGGACCATACCCTTTGTAGAATTGTCGGTGTGCATATTTAGACTCAGGGCGGAGCAGTCTGGTACCGAATACGGGACTGCTCTGGCTGAATACTCGAAGTTTGCTGCAATGTAATGTAATTGTTATTTTGTTCGAATTCAACTGTTATAACATGTCAGGACAGAGATATACTACGAGAAGACTGATGGCTACAGAAGTGGTGATCAACACAGCATTTGGTATAAAGGAAAGATCGAGACAGATTTGATTTAGCAGCCGCCCGACAGGAGAGAAAAAAGAGCGAGAACCTGTATATCACAAGACAGAGGGGATTAAATCAAGAAAAGAAAGAAACAAGAGCATTTGCTCTGAGTGACGGAAGCACGAGAAAAAAGCAAAGTAACACGGAGACCGGCAAACGATTGAGGGTATACGATTTTCGATGTGCGATAGATAGCAAATAGATGATGTAATTGAGCGGGAAGCCGCAGGGCCCAGACAGACTTGCGATTCTTCTTCAGGCGGAAACTCCGACATCTTACATAGGAGGTGGAGGTGAAATGATGTCTGAAGATGAAGACGAGCTACCAGTGAAGGCACTGGCGAACGAGGCGTGGTCATGACCCGGACTTCCACGGGCCCCTTGGACATGTCCATCTCCCTGTCCAACGTACTGCAATGACTGGAGTCCTAACGACGGGTCTGTATCGTACGGGGATGACATAAGAGGCGGAGACGGTGTTAGGCCGTGCGGAGATTGCAAGCTCGAGGATTCACGTAAATTGACTTGGAATGGAGTGGCATTCCGGTCGCTCCCAGGAAAAAAATGCGTAGCCGTAGGACCAGATGAGAAAGGTCGTTGGGATACGCCATGGGATATGGGAATGCTACTGTAGTCGGGTACGCTTTGCTCCTGCATTGTCTGTTCTAGCGGATTGTGTACGGTACTCGGCATATAATCGGATACCACCCTTGGACCATGCGGATACGAAAGTATTTGAGAAGGCCGGTTGAAGGAAGTCGATGTGTACCCTGCTGAGTAGGGATGCGGAACAGCGGATTCGGCCACGGGGCTAACCGATGAAAGGTTCTCTATATATGACGGGGGAGCTATACGCGTGAGAGCAGGCGGTCCCGAATTTGAACGCTTCCTTGAATGGCCCATGTAAGAAGGCCGTTGGTGGAAAGGGTCGGCCTGTATGCCTGCGAGAGGCGGCTGCGGAATTTGCATCGTAGTTGGTGAAGTTAAAGATGGGGTGCCAAGCATCCCACCTGAGCTATATGCCGTAGGGCTCAACAACGATATATTAGATCGTTGTCGATACTCTCGAAGGTCACTAAGGACATGTGCGAGCTGGACCGCAGATCCAACAAGATCATGGCGCAGGACTTGGGAAGCCTGCGTCCCCTCCGTCCAGTCGGAGCATTTCCTCCATACCTTGATAATCCCGCTACCGATCCCGCCGGATGAGCGCGGGGAAGAAATATGTTCAAGGTAGAAATTCGGTGGTTGAGAAAGGTGGAAAGACGCAAGGCCCTCTCCAGGGGCCGCATTGCGAAATTCTGTATGTGTGATAATGTCAAATGGTATCTCCATTTTAAATCCGTATCCCGCGGAGTGGATGAACCACGTCAGGCAGCGTTTGGCCTCGCAAACATATGCGACGAGGTCATGCTTTCCGGTTGCAATGCGTCTCCACGAACCGATGGATAGATCGGTACAGGGGATGATTGCGATCGCTACATTTTCCAGGAAATCAGAAGGAAAAATGGAGATATGACGCCGTAGTCCAAGCTTACGCTGATCTTCGTGTATGAGGCCGTGCAGGTCAGCCTCAAATCCAGCACTCAACTGAGGTGGTGTGTCGGGCGGTGTGTCGGACCATTCATTCCCGAGATGTCTGGACTTTTTGCTGTCTAACAGCTTTGCCTTCGCCCGCCTGTTTTTCCAAAGCGGAGGAAGAAAAAAAATCAATATCCATGACAACATCCGCATAAAAACGCGGCTCGGATGCACTCGCCTATTCTGAAACCAAATCTGCGTCTGACGCTCTTGCATCCCCAAGAGCTCCGAGATCTCCCTGCGACGTGCGGCTGTCGGACTCCTATCAGCGGCGAAGAAGCGTTCTAGATGCGTGAGCTGTTCGGGAGTAACGCGCGAACGCTTGCGCTTTTCTCGGGGCTCTCCAGACTTCGATTTTGAGCTCGTCGCAGTCGTAGATGCTGATCGGGGTTCAGCGGAAGCCTCCGCAGACCCCTCATCTTTTACCGGGGTATCCGGGGGAGCATCTGTGGAGGCCGAAAGAGGTGTGTCTCCAGGAGTCGCAGGGGACATCGAGGCGCTGGGCGTGGATGCTGTTGATTCGGTTACAAGGGATATGTCCTCGCCGGGACCGTATTTAGATGAGGGGTCGAGATTGAGGTAAGGGATCTTGGCACGGTTACGAAGTCCAGAGGGGCTGTCTATTGAGAGCAGCGTGTCCTTGGCTATTGAGGGGGAGTAGAGTAGAAGATAATAAGTTCCTGACAAAAACGGAGTGTAATACCAAAACGGATACTGACACTCCATACCCAGGAGGTCCCAAGACGCGTAATTAGTCAGAACAGTAGCCGCCAGATTGAATATGCGGGGGCGTGAACGGGGCCAGGCAGAGGCGCGTCCACGCGGAGTGCTTGAGTCGGTTTTATACAAAGTCTATCTCGCCAGGATGTAGGTAGTGACACGGCGCAGCCGGGTTATGACGACGCGTTTTGTTCAAATGCGGAATTGTAAACGCGCGGTTATTGAAAACAATGGAAAAAAAGAGGTTGATAGCCGTGTTTGCGTCAAGCGTGTCACAACGGAAAGAGAGAGGAAAAGAGTGTATGCAGATCAACGAGCGGCGGAATCGAATAATGAGTGTGTAGTACCAGAGCAAAGCCAGTGAACGTGTTAAACGAGTGTGAGTACCGATGGCACGAGACAAAAGGGAAGAGTGGGTCGGGTGTGAGGAGCGGGACAGGCGTGCGTTAAGGAGAAGAGGGAGAAAAGACAGAGTGTCAGTAACGGGTCGCGTTTTAACTTTGTAGGCTTACCCGTAGCTCCGTTGCCGGAGACAGAAGAGGGGCCGATCAGAGCGCCTTCGCGTAGGGTTAGGGTCTGCAGGGCAGTGGCAAGGAAACGGGGCAAACGGAGAAAAGCTTCTGGTTGCCTGGATGCTTGGGCTTTGAGGAGATCCAAGTGGGGAGTCTGCCGGGAGCGGGAGCGGAGAGGGCTTTGCGTCATTTTTGTATTATGCGTTCGAAACAAGTTGACTGTTTGGGAGGAGCACGAAAACAAACTGTAACAGAACACCTTGCAAAGAGGGTGACGATGCGGTGACTCGGTAAGAATAGATGGACATGATGGGCCGCGGTTCGGAAAGGGACTGCGAGAGCTTGATCTGGATTTGTGGCCGAAACAAATGTGCATGTTTTATCTGGAAAAGGGCGCCGGACGGACGGAGGCGGACGGCTGGTATGCTCATCTTGGATTGAGATTGGATCTGCCGGGAAGGAGGACTAGAACAGGCAGGGCACAACGGAGTCCATTCAAGATCGTCTACTGCCCCTTTTCTTCCAGGCACCGGCAACGGCAACGCAAGTCAGACGGGAGCGGCGCGTCGTCAAGCGACGCGAACGTCACAGGGAGAGCAGCTCACGCGCCCATGCTGGAATCCTAGAATCACCCGCGCACGATGGAGATAGAGATGGCAAGGCTCCCGGAGTCTCTCTGGCGACACAGAAGCCAACTGGGCCGTCGAGAACATGTCCGGGGTCATGTTCTGCACTGCTGCGCAACGGACGGGATGAAGAAGGAAAGTGATAGTGACTGGTGAGATCGATTGGGCAAGAGCTAGGGTCCACTTGCCAAGAAGGCTACAATCGAGAACCCCCCAAAGTCTGTAGCACACGCATGCGAGCGGGCATGCGAGCGGGTCCCGTATAACCGGGAACAATTCGCACATAGGGCGGCCCGCTGAGTGCCACATGCAGTTGTTGCTCTTGCCTGTTTGTCTTTTTCTGAGCGTTCGGGCGCTGTATCAGAACGAGGCAAGGGCTATGAGCTCGAGAGAACGGTCTCCATGGTCCATAGGGTCCATAGGGTTGTCACATCGTTACCGGTTGAGTTCTTTCTTTTTTCTCTGAATAAAGACAGCGCAGAAGGGCAAGCGCGTTGCACTATTCATAAGACGATGAAGACTCAGTTGCCTGCTTGCCTTCTGGTCGAGACGAACTGCTCTCGAGATGGTGAGGCTCGACATTGGCCTCTACTTAGTTGGTTGTCTCTAGTACCTGGTTGCATTTGGTGCTACAATCGACATTGCCTAATTTAGAATATCGAAGACCTGAGGTGTTCGCATGACTAATATTTCAATCATATTCTGAAAGTGGAAAGAAGTGCCATTCAATTGGTATTGGTAGCGGAACGCTGTTAGGGCTAGGGGTGTGACTAAAAACAGGCTCTACAACCAATCACCAGTAGTAGTAGACTTCAAATATTTGAGGACTCGCTATGTAAGGAGAAACCGTCGCGTTTGATAAACAAGAGCCCAAGGAAGCTGCCCTGTTAGGCAACCCTGTAACATACCTACGTCGCGGAAATCATCTGAGAATCGATTTGAGCAACGTAACCGCATCCGTTATTCACCATAGAAATTGCAAGGAACATTCTGTGTTCAAGAATGTTACGTCGCCTCCGTTTGAGATTTGCTCCTTTCAGTGCATCGTTCGTTGTCTGTACTTTTTGGCCATGCCCGGTGATCCCATCACCGTCTTCTATCCGCGACCTTTGTGCGTTTTTTGCAGCATAATTTTCTGTAGTAGACACAACCAAAGGCCATCTTCCTGGTCGCCGACCAACCTTGACCTTGACAGTTCAGTAATGCCGACCATCACCGACCAGTGTCAGCGCATCCAAGAGACAACAGACGCGCCCAGGTGATATGATTATCGCGAACTCATCATGTCTCTGAGCTGCAAAGTTGTGATTAACAGCTACGTCGCGGATTATACTTGCCTCTTTCTGTCATCGCCGAGCCATCCTACATCACAATGATACTTACGCAATATAACTATTTGTCTGAAAGGAAATACGCACGGAGATAGAGAAGCAGCGAAACGGAGACAGCGGGGGAACAGGGGAAAGCTCTGGGAAATGAAAGAGAAGAGAAAGAACCGTAGACTTACATGTCTCGACATGGAAAACAACAAAAAAAGTGCCTACCAAGTCCGACTGAGACATGACGAGATAGTATGTAGGAAATGAACCATTATCTGCTAGATCAGTGGGGATACTGCAAGAGAAGGTGAGAGTAAGACGGGCATGGACTGACGCTCAATAGCGTGGTCGTTTGGCGTCCCGCTCATCATATGCACTACCATCTCTCTTGTACCCACCAGACGGCGGACCATATCCACCTCCGCCACCAGGAGGACCTCCGGCGTATCCGTTGGCACCTCCAGCAGAAAACCCACCCTGATATCCGACTCCTCCACCTCGTCCGCTGGAAAATAAACCTATGGTGAGTAAAATGCAACAATATTAATAAGGAGTTAGATATTTACCGAAAGCCACCACCACCAAACCCTCCGTGAGGACCACCTCCTCTACCTCCGTATCCGTCATCTCGTGGGCCAAAGTCTCGCGGAGGTCCTCCAGGATTGAATCCGCCGCCTCGGAAGCCTCCTCCACCACGACCTCCATAGCCTCTATCAGATCCTCTGTCGGCAAATCCTCCACCACGACCTCCATAGCCTCTATCAGATCCTCTGTCGGCAAATCCTCCACCACGACCTCCATAGCCTCTATCAGATCCTCTGTCGGCAAATCCTCCACCTCGGCCTCCTCCAAACCCGCCACGACCTGCGACCCTGTCACGGAATCCACCCCCTCCCCCTCTAAATCCACCTCCACCTCCGCGGGGCGGAGGAGGACCAACAACTTGCGGTTCAGGCTTCGGACGACCGCCCAAACCACCACCCAGACGGCGAGGCTTCCATCCACGCACAGTCCGACCGCGTTCTACGTCAACAAGAATACGTTTATCAAGAATAGGGATACCATCAGCCTCTTTGTAGGCAGCTATGAACACAAATTCAGTTGTAAAGATTAGTGTAAAAATTCGGCTTTCAGTCAAATTAACTGCGCATAGGTGAATTTTGTATACCTTTCATATCGCGTTCTCGTTCATAGACGATGAAAGCATACCCTCTACTTCGGCCTTTTTTATCACGAACGATACGTACGCGCTCAATGGTGCCATAACCTTCAAAGACCCTGCGTAGATCAATCTCCTTGGCCTGCTTTTTCTGTGATAGTCTTGTTAGTATAACTATTAGTAAAATTCGCAAAAGCGAGGGAGCTTACCAGGCGCGCAACAAACAGCGTCTTGTATGGATCGCCAACTGCTTCTGGATCTTCCGCAGGTTTGTCTGTACGTATCGAGTGCTAGTTAGTAACACTCTCGTGATCCAAAAAATCACATAAGACGTACACATCTCTTTTGCGTTCTTAAAATGGTCTTCTTTCGCCTTTTTTCGTTCTTCCTTTCGAATTTGTCGTTGTGTTTCCTCCGTGTGCGTAAAAACCGGCTCCTCGCCCTCTTCCATCCCATCTGGCACTTCTTGGGTTCCCGCATCGATCAGGCCTTGTGTACTCTCCTCCTTCAATCGTGCAAGCAAGGCTGCTACACCATCAACATTTTTGGCACGGACGCGATCTGGGTCTTTGCCGACTGGACGTATATAGGGGAGGGGAGGACGCGGCGCAAAGAGTTTTAGTAAGTTAGGAGGTAGAAGATGAGTCCCCGGCATCGTTGTTGTCTACGATTGAGGGTGAACGCCGTAGAGCAAGCAATGTACAATCGTCCAAGACGAAAAGACGGTAGGTTGGAATGAGTAGAAAGGGTGTGACAGGACAGAGTTGTTGCTCGTCGGCGCGAGGAGACACGGGCGCTTTGTCACTTGCGCAGTTCAGACTCAGAAAGAAAAGAATAGCATTACATAATATTGATGAAATAATCAATTAGGTCAGAAGCCAAATTCCGACTGGTAAGTATAACAAGTAAACATCACAACTCGCCACCTCGGAATAACGGTCTTACAGCAATGAACAGCCTCTCTGTTAAGGAAGAATCCGGCCTCGGTATGATTGTTTCAAAGAATAAATGTTATTTCACAGAAAGTCATTGAGCAAGAATTTATTGTCTGAATGCAACGGTTGATTGATGAACACCAGAAGGGTTTTGCCACCTCTACAATTAATCAATCACAAATCTTCAGACTCGCCTTCAAGGCTCTAACGACGCGGGGAAGGCACCATTCTCGCGTTGCTCGTCCCACTTGGAGATCTGCAGAGGAGAGATCATCAGCCATTGCATGTCGCCGGTAGCATTGTATCTTGGCGACTCACCCATTCATCTGAATGAAAGATAGATAGAACGTGAAATTCAGCAAACGCAACGAACATAGTGATAGATTGGATGGAAACAACGCACTGGGACAGAGAGAGTTGTAAGCGCGTTTGAACTGCTTGCACGGGGCAAAGTCCTCGCCCTTTGCAGTAATACACTTGAAATAGTCCGTGTAGTTCTGGAAGCAGTGTCTGGTCTGGTTCGTGTTTGGGAACCGGGCTGGCAAGAGTAATTCGATTTAGCAACGATTGCTGTCGGGTGATTCGAGCGTGATAACGTACCATCGAAGCCAGCGGTTTGCAAGACGTATTTGCTGACAAATGGGTCAGTTATAAAGACAGAAAAAAAGGTGAAGGCAACACACCTGGAGAGTCCCCCTTCTGCAACTGTAGACATGATGGATGGTACTTGCTTGAGTGTGGAGGTCGTTAGACTGTTTGTCGACGACCAAACGTTTCTGCCCGACCCGGCCATTTCCGAGGATGAGTCACGTGCTACGCCTGCCTCTGACTGCAAACATTGAAACATACTGACAAGTTGCTTTCCTCTCCATCCACATTTACAATACAGTAGACACCATGTCACTTGACGCTCTCAAATCCGAAATCGCAGTGAAGCGCAAGCTCGCCACGGATGAAACAGCTCGACCATCGAAGTACATGCGTCGAGGTGAACTCGAAAAGCTGAAGGCCGAGCAGGAGCGGAGGGAGAAGGAGGAAAAGGAGAAGCAAAGGCACAAGCAAGAACAGGAGGAACGCGAGGCGAAAGAAGCGAAAGAGAAACTGAAAGTGAGTGCTTTGTCTACGTCTTTATCATGAAGAAGTATTGAGGCGACGTTGGAGAACAGGCTGCGAGAGCATTCTCAAATTCGCCAATGCCGCCGGAGTCTTCAGGCTCTGCACGAGAGTCAGCTTTGGGATCACCTGCTCCTGAGACCGGAGGCTTTAATATCTCAAATGAAGATGCAATCCGTCGATTGCGTGCCAAGGGCCAACCTATCCGTCTTTTCGGCGAGACTGATCGCGAACGACGACTACGACTGCGTGCTCTCGAACTTATCGAGGAAAAGGGTCATGACCGTCATGGCGGTCAGAACGACTTCAAGAAAGCGTTGGAGGATGTGGAAACCAACGAACTCGAGGCAAAGGCGAAGGGAAAGGAGAGGGAGAAAGATCCAAAGAATAAGGATGACGCGGACACGTCTGGGACAGTGATAATCGACCCCGATTTGATCAAGACAGACCCGGACAAGCTGTATCCGCTAATCTACTACGCTCTTAAGAAGACGCTTAGGGAGTGGGGCGAAGCTATGGATGAACGTCCGGAGCACATCAAACGGTCGACTCAGGGAAAGCTAGCAGCCGCAACTCAAGTTCAGTCTGCACAATACCTTAAACCTCTTTTTAAGAGTCTTCGGTCACGAGTAAGTGAAAATAACTCTCCTTGCAATTTTTGTTGAAAAATGCTGATATGCTCGTCGATAACAGAACCTCCCTGCAGATGTACTGGCTCGAATAGCCGAGATAGTTTATTATATGCAGAAGAGACAATACCAGAGGGCCAACGACTCATACCTTCGTTTATCAATTGGAAATGCCCCTTGGCCTATTGGTGTTACCATGGTCGGGTGAGTCGTCATAGTATGGAGTAAGCGATCGGGCCTAACTGAGCGTTTTGCCCAGTATTCACGAACGATCTGCGCGAGAAAAAATCGCTACGGATCAAGTAGCACACGTCTTGAACGATGAAGTGAGTCGGAAATATATCCAGAGCCTGAAGCGGTATGTTTTGTTTAAGCTTGAAAGATTTACATACGTGATTTCTGACTGTCGTTTGTGCGTAGACTCCTCACGTTCTCTCAGACCAAGTATCCTCCAGACGATCTGACGCAACTTATGGGATGACGGATTCTTATTATCTGTTTTGTGTTGTTTTCGTAGTATTTTGTCGTACATTGTTATTATGGATGATCATGTAATGCATGCTTACATTGTGGTGTTGATGCGAGAGAGTTCCGCGTTGACGCGGACCCGTGATGAATGATGCCGCCGAGAATCACGCTTTAGCTTAGCCCATGAACAGACCAAGCGCACCTATCTCCTTGTAGCCTGCCTCTAACTTTCACCATATTCTTAACTTTGCATTGAACTACGATGGCGAGCCCGCGTCGCTCGCCACTCATACTTCACGCATCTGACATTTCGCGTCTGCATACAACGCTTGCTTTCCTCGCGTTCGGCTCAGCACTCGTCATTGGTACTCTTCTTCATTACCAGAAAATCGTGAAGAATGGTGTCGCTGGATATCCTGAAGAATGGTTTCCGTCGGTTTCTGCAACGTGAGCTCTCAGCGCCACTGACGCTGATATGTTACTGAGGTTCCTCCTTCGCGTACATAGAATTGGCGACTGGTATCCAGAACGTAGCATATTCCACATTCTCATCGCGTTGAACTCTGGTGAGCGATTTGGTATACTTGCTTCCTATTCAAATTTAATAAGAGTGGCCTCAGGACCGCGATTTGCAATGGTTGCATTGCAGTATTTCCTCTTAAAGTCATACCAATCATCCATGCCATTGGTCCTCCTTGTAACTGGTATCATACGCACTTTAGCCTGTGGCGGCTGGGTATACATTACCTCGTCGGATGATCATGATGCGCATGACGTGCTTATGATAACTTATATGCTGTGCAATATTCCATGGATGCTTGGTGGAATAGCTTGTACTCCCAAGCAAACGCGGCAGAGGCGAAGGCGGTGAGTGGATTGATTTTATTTCGTTGTTCGGCCAAAGTCTCATTGTGAAAAAGGGTAGCGTATGCTGCTACGTAGGTGTCATGAACGAACCAGTGTTATTGTTCTCCTGACGTATGCATTGAATTGGAAGGTTCTTTTTGTCAATAATACCCATGATTTATTTCTTCATCGAACATAAGGTTCACAGAGTACCGGGAGGTAAGAGTTGCAATAGTCAATTTATTGTCGTTCCTTTGCTGATCATAAATGAACTGGAATTTGATGCAGCCTACACCCACTACTCGTTTTTTGAGTGGACACTCATCATCACGGATATCCTCTTCGATTCTGTAACAGAACTGGATTTCGCGGATGCACGTCTAGAGGTATTGACCATTACCTATCTATTTTTTTTAGTTATTCGTTCTCATGGTCTTGTAAGATCAACATTTCTGCAGGTGAAGAACTAGCGGCTCGAAGTATGGACGATGCGTATGTAAAACGCTATGTGTAAATTTATAAATCAAAAACTGATAGTGCGTAGAACCAATGTTGCAAAGGTTCTTCAAAGCAAACGTGAAGAAGTCGTAAAAAGTAGTATTCAACAGATTATGCAAGTGGATGCCATGGGAGATAAGAAATCGAAAACTGATGAAAAGCCACCTGAGCAAATCGTGCGAAGTGTGGCGGCGCCGTATCAAGTCTTCGCCGATACCTTTCAGAATCATAGAGCGGCATTCTCATTCGTATCGGATCTATACCTCGGTGCGCTACCAGTCACTCGTGCTACATGTTCTACTTGAGTTAACAGCTTCGTACAATAGCATATTTATTCTGGACTATTTTTACTTCATTGATACCAACTCTTTTCTACTTCTCCATATGGGAACTTGGCATTGCGGGCGCCGAACTCGCACTGCTATCCATTCTGTCGCCAGGTCTTCTCGGCATACAGTCCTTCAGGACCTGGGCGGGGACGAAGTCTGGCCGTTTGACGCTACACGTGCTGGCTTTGACTGGCCTAGTCGCATACAAGTTGCCAACGCCTGCTCAGCGACTCCTATTCGTCACGTTTGCGAACTTCTTTCTATGCATTGGTGCTTCTGTCGACTGGTCTGAACCGTCGACTGCCGGTTCGCAATCTATACGTACGTCTCGAGGTCGCCCGTCTTGTATAGATTCGTTTCTCACATTTTGCCAATTAGTGTTAGGGCTCGGACTCATTCTGTCGTCTCTCTCGAAGCACGCAAATCACTCCAATAACCCCTGTGAGTAGAAGCGCTAACACATTCGACACGAAGGTTCGAGACTTACAATTCGCTATAGTATGGCCATTGCTTGACGAACACACGGGAGGATACAACAAAACAGGGATCTTCCTTGCTGTGCTCGCTATATTCGAGTTGGCATTGCGGGATGGACATTGGAAGACTTCCGCAAACTCCGCACTCAGGGCAGAAGCTCTCGATGGTCCCCGTTCTAACTCTAACGTTCCTCTTAAGGCATGGTTGCCAAGTTCCTTGGCTCTGGGAAGTTTGATATTCAGTCTCCACTGTTTCCTATCGGACCCCAGTACACTGATCGCATGGACATGGACCGGTTACCCTATTCAAGGACCGGTTCCACATCTTCATGGTCTCCTAACTCTCATCGTTCAATCAGCCGGCATGCTTCTACCTATACTTGGAAGTCCGGTTACGTCTGTTCTTGCCAGTCCCCTGTGGTTCCTTGTCGGGGCCGTGTCTTCGTTTGTACTTTATAGTTACAATGACTGGGCCGGTTATTTCGGAGGGTTAGGTGTTGCTGTCTTCTTTATGTCGATTATACCGCAGACTTTGCAACAAGCTGCTATGTCGCCTTTCGTCGGACGGACGTATTTTACTGCATTTTTCGTTGCTGTCGTTTTTTACTTGGCGAGCGTTTGGACCGTGGCCTACGCCTTCGTTCCTGGAGGCGAAGTGTTGAGGGAAAGGACCGATCTGTACGTATGCGTTTCTATTCTAAAGTTGCTGAGATGGAAGGTTAACGCCTTGTAGTGTTCTTTTAGCGCAGATTCTGTGCTTAGCTCCTGTTTTCAAATGGCCAGGGAGCAGAAACTTTGGCCATGCATCACTGGAAGTTTCGCCTCGTTTTAAACTATATACTTTCAATGCACTCTGTGTCATGGCTGCTGTGTCTGGTCTGGTTACGAGTTATAGGATGCCAGTGAATCCGCCTCAGCCACACCGCCCGGGGCATCGTATGGTGCGAGCTGGTATCTGGACTGTGCATTTTGGGTTGGATAATGAGGGAAGGGACAGTCAGCGGCTGATGAGGGACCTCGTTCGGTATGTCAAAGTTTCTAACGTCTATTGCCAAAGCTGTAACAATGTACTGCCCCGATTCTCCAGAGACATGGAGTTAGATATTCTTGGGCTTCTTGAAACAGACTTACACGTGAGTCGTATTGCTTCATTTATAGGGTCGATTGTTTATGAGCGAGTTTAGCGTCATGTCTATGGGAACCGCGACCTGTAAGCCTTTGGATTTCTCTGTCAAGATTCTAACTGACTTTACTATGTAGGACTCGTGTAATGGCTGAGGATCATGGGTTTGTAAGGAAATTCCTATCAACTCCATAAAAGAGGGGCTGACGAACCCTGCCGTAGTACGTCGACCTAGGTCCCGGACCTGATAAACATACGTGGGGCGCTATACTCCTTTCCAAGGTGGGATAACTTTTTCCCGATGAATTCCCTAGTATTGATCTTCCCTTCATCTGTTGCAGTTTCCGATCATAAATTCTACACATCACCTCCTCCCTTCTCCGCACGGCGAGTTAGCGCCTGCTATATCTGCTTTCCTGGATATCTATGGGACTGAGGTCCTAGTTGTAATTGCTCATAATGGACAAGGTATGGTGTCTTTCTCTTTGGTTTTTTATGGATAGTAATGGCCTGATTCGTTCATACAGAACAGGATCCACTGGATAGAGAACTACAGTCAACGGAGTTGGCGAGGATTATGCGCTCTGCTTATCCAGCGCCTGCCATATTCTTGGGTTATGTCGTGACAAAACCTCATGCTGATCGACGTAAGTTTCAATCAGCTTTCACAGAGACCGTTCTTTCTGAAACATTGTCGCAGCGTCTCCATATAAGATTATGGTAGAAGATGGTCTAATGCATGATATCGACGCCGACGATCATGATCGATGGTAAGCTAAACATGTTGTCTTCTCATGAATGGAGAATCTTAAGCTACAAATAGGTGTGAATACATCCTATATCGCGGCCTGTACCGAACCTCCTACTTGCGCATGTCTCGTGGAAAAGTCACCGATACTGAGTTGCAAGTTGGGCAATTTGTCGTACCTCGGTTCGGACATTCTATCACAGACGAGTCAGAGAGCGCAAGATATTTGCGTGTACATAAGGAGATACTCGAACAGCAACACGTAAGTCTCTCTCATTGGATTGTCTGATATATAGCTGATTGGCATGCAGTGGTTCCCAATGGAATACTACGGCGACGAAGGCCGTGGAGGGAAGAATGGGCATTACTACCATGTATTTGGCACGCCGCTGTATTACAACCTTCCGGAAGGCGCTGTTTTGTAAACGACTCGTACCCGCTGTTGTTTGTGATGCACTACTTGTTGTAGTTTTTGCTGTATTAAAAAGTTACAATCTACAATTTATCGAACACTTTCCGGTGAACTATCACTATTATCTGTATCATCATCCTCGTCGCTGCTGTCGGACTCCTCTTCATTATGCACCGGATGAGCCGTGCGATTTTCGTCAACGCGCTCCGCTTGCACAGCGCTGGCACTATGTGTCTGCCTTCCTTCATATTCACTTTCTTCGTCCTCATCCTCGGTTTCGTCATCTGACTCTTCATAAAACTCATCAAGGTTCTTCCAGAGTCCTGCTCCTCCCGTCCCACCCTGCAAACTAGGAGATGCACGTCCAGTTGGTGTTAGAACTACTGGTGATCCCACTTTGAGGGTTGCATGACTCGGACCGAACCCTCCCATTGTTCCAGTAATTTCAGCGATAGAACGTTGTTGCTGCCCTGCAATATTCGTCACCGGGACACTAGGAATTTCCTCCGGAGAGTCACGTAAAGAAGAGTCTGTGCCCTCTTCTGGCCAGTCTGGCAGGCGAAGGCTTGAGTCTAGTCCTGTTGGCCGGCCGGTGATGACTTCTAGGGAACCAAGCACACAGCCTTTGTCTAATGACGCAAAGTTAGTACTTGGCGCGGAGACTAGGAAATAAATGACTTGCCTTGGAAAGGTTCCCACTGCTGTGTTTCCAGTTTCCCTTCGAAAAGTATGAGTTTGACCTGCTCATGACGTAGGACTACTCCGCCCCTGCTGGATAGTTCTCCTTCATCAATCGCATCGCTATCTGCGAATGTACTTCCGTTCGTATGCTGGAGGTGAGGTGCGATACCGACAAGCAAAGCAGTTAGTAGACGAGCACGATCCCGAACGTCGTAATTCAGGTCGTATCGTGCAAGTGAGAAAACGTATCTCGTCAGGAGTACGATGGAATGGTGGTATGTTGACGATAATAGCAGAAGTTTTGCAGCTAACGTAAGGACCTGAAGTTTGACGATAGGTGCCTGTAAAACGACGAGTCAGAACGGTAGAAGCGATACAGCTCAGGTTGTTTGCTCACTTCAGTTGAGAACGTCTTCGCTGTTCTGCGCAGCACGTCGGGAGCCCACCAAGCAACTCCGTCCAGTCCACCATTTTCTGCTGTACTTCCGTCTTTTGACTCACTACCAAGCGATGAATACTGGCCCACAAGCCATACGATACAGGCTCGTGCCAATGCGTGTCGTATTTCATCTAATCGACCTGCAAGGTCAGCGATGATGCGCGCAGGGGAGTGTCCGCCTGTCCACGAAGAAGCTTGAGACCTTTGAAGAAGAGTTTGGACGAGGGATTTCAATACGAGGACAGAAGCGGAGACGGCTGATTCTGTTCAGATGTCAAGAAAGGCCGGTTGGTTAACGCAATACGGACTGACCGGAACCGGTCCTTATGAACTCCATTAGCGCAGAAAGGCAGTGGCTAGCTGAGTCTGGCACCGCATTGGCGCAAAAACCGATAGCTCGAATAGCATCGGAGACTACTGTATCGTCTGGGTCATCGGCATACACCTAAAAAAGAGTCTGAGAAAAACTAAGTATATGTGCGCAGTGACAACGTACCACAAATTCGCGTAACAAAACTTGATAATTATCTGATGAGAGTAGCTTGAGCAAAATCCGGAGTTTCAACAGTTTCGTTCCCCTCAGATCTACTGCACGGATGAAGAATCGGGAGTAATGGCGAGAAAACAGTGACTTGAAGTTAACGATGTCAGTATTTCAGGGCTTTAGTCCTTGATTTTATCTCCACATACAGGGTATTCGTGCATTATGATGAGAATGTTCGCCAAGACAACTGCTTCAACTTCTTTCGACACAGAGAGTAACCGAAGAAGGGGCCCGACTAACTTATTGACTTGGGAAGGTGGAGAGAGGTAAAAGAAGACACGGGAGACCGCCATAACCACCTTGATAACGAAGAGCAATCAATTAAGACACGTTTTAAGAAAATTTGAACTCGTACAGAAGGATTTCGTGACATAAGGAGAGGTTCTGAAGCCGACAGAAGAAGCTGCAGATCCGGGTCGACGTCTTCATTGCCTTCGTCCATTTTGTTTCCTGCTGAGTCTGACGTAACTGGCCTGGGGAGCATACTCCGCGCATAACGAGCTAAGAGCTCCAGGACGCTCACTTGTCCCCATGCATCGATGTCGAGGAGCATTCGACACAGGCGACGATAGTGAGGATGGAGTAGATCGAGACGTGTTGGACATATTGCCTGGAATGCGACTGCGACGGAACCGATAGATAACGGAGACTTGTCCTTCAGAAGAGTGGTGATGATTGGAATGAGAGAGGGAAGATGTCCGGAGTCCATACTGGATTAGTTTTGGTATTGCATTGGCTTCGTTAGCTTTGAATCCGAAAGAGGATTATCAAGTGCGCACCTGTAACATTTTATTGTAGCAAGTGCAGCCGCTTTGCGTACGTATGGGCTTGGATCATTCGCACATTTCTTCACGGAGAGAATGACTATGTTCCCAACCATAGGGACATTGATCCCACTGAGTACCCGAAGGGCCATTGCGCGTATAAGCGGGTTTGGATCCGCAAGGTCGCGTTGGAACGTGTTAATGCTGAGCAATGCGAGATCCGGCTCCGTTTCTGCATAGCGTAGAAGAAATATGTAGACGAGCTTTCGTATCTCTAGATTGGGAGAGGCAACATTCTTGACGACGGAAGGGAAGTAGTCTGAGACGTTCCGTCCTTTTGAGATAAGCTATGGTGTAAGTGGTAGTCAGGTCGAGGTGTCCACGATTCGCCTGCAGAGGGAACAAATACCGCTATTAATGTCTTGAGTGCATCCAACTTCTCGCGATCACTGTTTGTATCGAGCTGCTTGCGGACGTTGCGGACTTTATCCTCAGACACGTCAAAGTATGCAGCACCAGGGCCTCGAGCAATGGCCAGATCACGAGTATGTTCAATGAAGCTCTCCTGGATACGTGCGCCCAGCCGCGAGGTGTTTTCCGTAATAGAATTCAGGTTCAGTCCAATTCCAGCCATGATGCACCCCGACCACGAGCTATGCTCTTAGCTCTACCAGCCAGGCAATTGGGAAGAGTGTCAGTTCATGCCGAAATGGACAAGCAGCCGTTCCGTAAGTCTTCGTCGCCCCCGTGATTTGCATCGCCTAATGGGGAGTGTAAGTTCACCAACATGTTCAATCATCAGCATCAGACCAATGCTTATGGTTCCACTTTATAAGACATTAGTTATTCAAACTTAATTACACCAACTCAATCTGTCTAGAGTATGGACAAGTATTAATAATATGCACAGAAGATAACAATACTAACAGGTGCAGTTTTCATATATTGAGTTGTAGAATGTTTCACTAGCTGGAAACAAGAAAGAAAACAAACAGTCTTGCAAACCTATGAACCGAGCCCGGATTGAACGGACGACCTTGTGGAGTCTCCTGAACTGGAATCACACGCTCTACCACTGAGCTACCGGTCCAGACTAGGACTTTCAGAATTGCTCTATCTGTCTAAATAGACAACAGCTTTCAATGAGGAGAGTATTTACAGGTCTAATTAGTACCAGTTAAGACTGTATCATATATGCTCTTTCCTTATTCTCAAGGCAGAGGACTCTAGCAGTATTAGTTTTCAGACAATCTTAGTTCTTATATATAATTAATTAAGAATAATAAGTATATCTAGTCACAGTAATAGTATGTAGCATAATTAGTGTAGTAGATCTAGGGTTCCAAGGATTGGACTACAGCACCATCAATACTAAGTAGTTCTATGTATTGTTTTATTTGTACTATAAGATGTCTGAGTATTAAACTAGAATAATTCTTAAGTGTAAGCTAAATCAAAGACTAATATTTTATACACACTCTTTGTTACAGTTCTCTACTCTTGTACCTTCAGTTCTAAGAGTTCTACACTCTTCTGTACTAGAACTTGAGACTTCTGTCCCTTGAGAGTACTGTTTATAAACTATATACATACTAACTTTTACTACTACCCTTCCTTACTTTATTATTCTATTCCTTTAACCACCCCTTCATTCTTTGTTCATTCTATAGTCTCTTACCCTTTGTCCATCCCTTCATTCTTTGTGCCTTTATCTTTGACCTTCCTTTCTTTCATTCTTTGTAACTTATCATTCTTAGTAGCTTATACTCTCTAAGTACTCTTATATAGTTTAGTATATATAAGTATACAAGATCAGACTGGTTCTATAGTCTTAATCTTGTCTACTCTAAGTAGTCCTGTACTCTTAGGCTCACTCTATATACTCTACTCTTGTCTTACTCTCTCTCTCTGTCTGTTCTGTAAGTTCTGACTATGTTCTAGTACTTACATTCTGTATTTCTGTTATATAGAATAGTTGTAGTCTAGGTCCCCTTACTAAGCCTTTAGGTCCCCTCTATACTGTTACTAACATTAGATTAAGACTACTTATTACTACCCTACAACTCTCCTACATTTTAAGTATTAGTACTTACTGTTGTGTCAATCTCTTTTCTTTGTTCTAACCCTTTTATATTTTTAAATTTTAAACTTTCTAAACCCTTTTAAACTTTTACCACCCTTCTTCTATTCATTACCCCTTTTAGTTTAGTACTGATTCCTTTGTAGTGTAAACATAAACCCTCCTACACTAACTGTTACCCTTACTGTCCTACTAGATTAGTAGTTATAAACAGACCTAGCTCAAAATGTATAAACCTCTATCTAAGAGACCTTTACTAACTATATACTCTTAGCCCCTTTAGAACCTGTTCTGATTGTTCTAGAAGTTGCAACCTGTTCTAGAAAGAAAGAGTATATAGTCTACCCTTTAGACTTTAATGAGTAGTACTTTAAGAACTTCTAGTACTAAGTCAAACTATATATGACTACTACTTTAACTGATCTATTCTCAAATCTTAATTGTGTTCTATTTATCCTCTCCTTTATAAAGGAAGGTAATACAGCCACCTAGGCCTAGAACTGGATTGAAGGCTATTAGATTAGAAGCCTAATCTGACTTTAGAACAATGAGTCATATTTGGAATTTATAAGACAGCTCTGTACTTCCTTTATTAATCTGAATAAAAAGTATAATGTGTAGAACAAGCTTGTGTCTCTATAACAGGACAAACATTCTACTAATACTTTCTTTCAGGAGTTTGATATCCTGGCTTAGAAGGTAGGATTTGTACTCAGGTTTGATAATGTTCTTATTAGAATGCTTGAAAAAGCTCTTTACTTAGAACTGGTTGATAAGATTCTTAGAATAATACTAGAACTGATTACTTATACTAAGTAGAAGACATACACTATTTCCTTTGACTAAGCTACAGTTTGAATGTATTAAGTCTGTATAGAATACTTACACATGTGTTTAGCTTTAACAGTTCCAAGCCCTCAGATTAATCTGTCTGTAATTTGTAATCAATCTGTCCTGATAAACATTAGAGAAGCCTAAAAGTAAGGAGCATACTTTACCTGTAGAAAGTTAGAACACTAGATTAAGGACTGTTTATAAAAGTAATAGTATATCTGTTAGGTCATTAGAGTAATAATGAGTAACAACTAGGATTTGTAGTAAGAAGCCTTTTCTACAAATCCAGAAGTCACCTTAGAACTCTTAGACTCTAACTACATACTCTAGGATTTTATAAAGGTCTAACAGTAAATATAGTACTGAAGGGCTATAACTTGAATTTTTTAATAGTTACTTTTGATTCAATAGACACTATAGGATTAGAAGTAAATAAAGTAAGAAAAGTAGAAAAAGTAGAAAAAGTAAATTAACAAAATTATTTATTAGAAAGAAAAAAGTTAAAAACAAAAGTAGATAGTTCTCTTATTTCTTCTAATTCTTTTGATTCTTCTCTTTACACTTTATCCAAGTCTAAATCTGTACAATCTGACCTACTACTTCTGTGTTCTAAAATCTTAGAACATTCAGAACACTACTTAGCCTTGTTTACTACTTAGTAGTTTGTTTATAGTATTAAGTAAGGATAGTCTCAGCTGAGTTCACAACTGAGGACATGAGTCTGTCCTTATTGAAAGAGAGAGGTTAATAAGGAAATGTTAGTACATATACTTACCCTCTTAGATGACAAGACTGTACAAGCTGTACATTCCCTTTAAAACAAGTAACAGTTTATTAGAGAATGTTCTAAGTACTAGCTCTAGGTCTCTATCCTCTTAGCTCCCTTCTTAGGATCCTCTCAGATCTGAATAATAGCTCTAGTAGACAGTAGATACACTAGTTTGTGTATTAATAAAGTCTTTATGTAGAAACACTACCTTCTTACTTAATGTGTTCTACTTCTAATCCTAGTATATAATGTAGACAGAACTCTAAACTAAAATAGTCAGATTACTAAGTTTGTCCAACTATAGATAACCATTTAGGATTATAAGGAAAGTATTAAGTTTAGAGTCACTAACCTTAGAAAGACAGACATCTTTATTAGATTTGAATAGCTTAAGACTTACAACCCTACTATTAACTAGTTAGAGTAAACACTTGTGTTTAATTAGTGTCCTAAGTCTTACAGTTACCTTGTACTACTGTTCTGAGTAGATACAAATGCTTCTAATGTTACTAACAGTTCTAATAAAGGTGACTAGTTGTTCTTCTTTAACTAGAATGAATATATAAACACATATTCTAGTTAAGACAGAATAGAGTCAATCTGAAGAATGTTTAAGACAGAACTAGTCTAGAACCCTCTCAGAACAACTCTACTCTAGAATGTATGTAGACCCAGTCTACCAGATTTTGTCTAAGAGTTCTCTAAAGTCTTTAGTAAAGAGGAATTTGACTAGCTTCCTAAACACTATTCTTAGGACTATACAATTGAATTGACTAAGGGTTTCTAACCTAAGGATTGTAAGGTCTATCTACTTAATAGAGACAAGTAAGAGGTGCTTGACAAGTTCCTTTAGGAAAATCTTTAGAACAGCTGGATCTAACTCTTAAATTCCTTTATAGTCTCCTCTTTCTTCTTTGTTAAAAAGAAAGATAGGAAGCTCTATCTAGTCTAGAATTATTATTGTCTTAATAAGGGTACTGTCAAAAACAAGTACTTACTCCCTCTGATTCAGGAGCTTATTAATAAGATGTATACATTCAGGGTTTTTACTAAGTTAGACATTTGATAAGGATACAATAATATTTGGATCTAAGACAGAGATGAGTGGAAGACTGTGTTCTAAACTAATTACAGACTGTACAAACTGACTGTAATGTTCTTCAGACTAACTAACTTGCTTACAACATTCTAGTCATTTATAAATCACATTCTTACAGATCTGATTGACTCAGAGTATGTTAGTATGTATTTGGACAACATTCTGATCTTTACTTAGACAGTTGAGCACTATTACTAACTAATCTGAGTAGTTCTATAATAGCTCTAAGATAATAACTGTTCCTCTAAAAAGTAAAGTACTCTTTTACACAAGAGTCAGTAGATTATCTAGACTTTGTAATTAGTAGAGGAGAGGTCTGTATGAATCTAGTAAAGGTAACTACAGTTTGGAACTAGTTACAACCTTAGAACCTGAAACAGGTCTAAGTATTCCTTAGGTTTGTAAACTACTACTAATACTTTATTCAAAGCTTTAGTACTATTACTTAGCCCCTTTACAATCTTACTAGCAAAAATGTTCCTTAGTAATAGGATAATTAGTAACAGTCTGTGTTTGAGTCTCTTAAGTAGGCTATTACTAGTAAGCCTGTATTAGTAGTTCTAACAGTTGTAGACAAGTTCTAAGTTAAAGCTAACTCTTCTGACTTTGTAAATAGAGTAGTACTGTCCTAGTTTATTAATAGAAAGTAGTGTCTAATAGTGTTTCAATCAGAATCCCTCTCTGTAACAGAACAGAACTACTCTATCTATAATAAGGAACTCCTTACAATTGTCTGTTCCCTAGAGGAGTAGTATTAATATCTTCTTAGTACTATACAAAAGTTTAAGATTTAGAGTGATCACCTTAATCTCTAGTACTTCTGAGTGTCTCAGAAGCTCAACTACTGTTAAG